TCGCTTTTTGCTTATCGGTCACATCTCGACTTACTACCTGTACGACCTTACCTTTCATCCTATCAATCAATATTTGGGATGAAGGAAAAGACTTTCAGGGATTTAATTGAAACATGGAAGGTAGATGCCAGAGCGAAATGAGGGGACCATTTGCAGATCGCGTGACATGTCGGCGAGGCCTTGTTTCTGTTATTGTAGTTTGACTTACAGGACGATGCAAGATTACCCTGCGACCTTTCTTTTTACTTAGTGCATCCGTGAGGCCGTCAGGATGAAAGCAAGAAAAAGAAAATGCTAGGCCCTTTTGGTTCTGCTGTCCCTTTAAACGAATGTGACTTTAAAATACATGTACATGCATTCCCGACAGATATTTGGGCCCGTGTAGATGGCGTTTCCTAGAGCCTACATAGAAACTTGTTGGTGGACACATTTTCGCGGGGGGGGGGGGTAAATTTCGGGGTTTTTTGAGAAGGGGAACTGTTGAATTTTAAGGTAAATTTTTGGGGCCTATCTGATGGTTACAGCTATATTTTGGTGCGTTTTACACGATTGTGAAAAGAAAAGGGAGGAAATCGACTCAAAGATCGCATTTCTCTTGTCAAAAAATATTCTCCTTGGGGGCATTGCCCCCGTTGCCTCCCCCCTCTAATCCCCCATCATTCTCAGCCCACTATATTGAAGATTCGCATAATATAAATGACATGAATCTAACGAATATAATATTCGAAAAATAGGGTAAGCAAACAGTGGACAAAGCTAATAATGGCACAGTGCGACTCGAGGTTTGCACTTCTCTATCATATAGGCCTAGCTGAACATTCCAACAGTCGGACATTTTTTTTATGTGAAACATGGAGACAGAATATGTACATTACAATATCGAATTCGGCGCTGGTAAATACAACTGCTCGGGAAATGTACCACCTGCGTCAACAGACTGCAAAAGGGTTGAATGTAGGCTTCCACTGATCGAAGATGGGCAAATATCAGACACCATGAACCACCTGCACTGGTCTCATTGTCTGTGGCAGAGATTGCATGGGCGTACTTTGATTGTCACAAATACTGTCGTAATTAAGCAGTTTGAAACACCTGCAAATTTGGGTACACAGAGGTTTTGTTTGGAATATAATTAATAAGAGTTTAATGAACCTCGGTGCTCAAAATCGACGGCCGCCACGGTTTTGTGCATAGATAAAAAATAAGCAATCAAAGCTGTTGGACAGCCTATCGCCAGAACTATTTCCACGTATTGTGCACATTCTGTTGCACAACAAACATAAAAACAAGAGCCACACGATACAAGCAGCTGACAAATTGCAATACACTGGATGTATATTGTAATTGTGATATAGTGGATGGAGTCTGCTATCCGTGGAAATTTGTACAAAATTAATCGACCGCCAGTAAAGCAGATGCAAGTAAATTTGTCGACCATTAATATGCATGTTCTGGCATTTTCTGGGCAAAGTAGGATTTACTCAGGTCCATTATAATTTTTTTTTTTGCCGAACAACTCTCGTCAAATGAAATTGAAAACCGAATTCAATTGCCGGTTATAGTCCTTAGGTATATCCTTGACATATTATGGGATTACGCAGAATCTGTGGCACATAAAATCCTTCTTTCTGGGTACATTAAATTGAATCACTAATAACGAGGGGAAAAATTAATTTCCTCGATCACGATTCCGGAATTTAAAGAGGCCTTGGGCTTTAGTCTCCGATTTTCCGGACAAAGTTCATGTACGTTTTGCGATTATTACTCTAGGTTGTTTTCTTAAAATTATTGTATCATTTTAATCATTCGTTTTGTTTAAAGGCAGACTTGGTGCGAATTTAATCATAACTTATTGACACACAAAGGAAATTTAAATCTTTGTGACGTTTCCTATTTCGTCAGTAGTCGTGTGTTTAAAACAATAAGTGTTCTATTTTTACGGTTCTCATTTAAAATAATGTGGTTTCTTGTTCATTTATTTGGCATCCTGTTTTCATCAAAATTGCTCTTCAACCCCAGAGGAATAGAGTTAATGATATACCTACAGTACTCTACAATCACTGTCTTGATTTGAGACAAAATCATGCTGTTGTGAGCTCGTCTGAACTTGAATGCAATGCAAATCAGTCAATTTAAACGAAATAAAAAAGGACACGAAAATACGTGTTATCCTTGTTTCGTTGTGTTTTTATTCATGTCTTTTGAAATTTCTGTTTTTATTCCTAGAAAATCCACTTCGATAAACTTAATGCAAATACGAATAAGGAAGCAGATGCACAACATAACCAACAGCGTCAACTATTTTAACCTAAAAACAAAGTTTGTTATCGTTTCCTTCTCTTCTGCATTTTCTTTCCAAGTAAACCCACGTCAATGAATGCAAATACGAATCAGGAAGCACACGTTGCCATAGAGACCAATTTGAGAGTGGAAATTTTCTGCTCGTTGATTACATTGAATTCTTGATCAATCTCTTCCAAATGCTTCCGATGAATATGAATAAACGATAGGACTATTTAAATTTGATGCGACATATTAAAGAAATTCGAAAACAAAATCAAACACTTTTGGATGTGCAAATGCAGATTTTAAACTAATTTCCATGAGCCTCGTCGCATTAAACTTCACGAATTATATTGGAAGGGTCAGGAAAAAGCTATAGGCCTACATATAGTATTTTCCATGTAATCTGTCGGGATGCACGCACTCTGCGTGTTTAGAATAGACTTATTCTGCGCCGTCGTGCACGCGTTGGAAATGCAGTTCACTTCAACAAAGCTCTTTTTTTTGCTTAGCTGCAGTGAAGCATTTGCACTTTCACTGATAATGATTTCTATTAAATTTTTCATCGTAAATGATTCTTGTACTGAAGAATTATTGTTCGATAAATATAATTAGTTAGAAATACACACTCTTTCTTTAGGATACTTTGCCTGGACATACCTTGTATGGGGTACATTCTTTATACCTGAAACTGAAAACGAAATTGAAATGAAATAAAACTAAAGTGATAAACGCATTTATCATAGTTCAATTTTAAAGGAGGTCAACTTAACGGCAAGTACAACTATAGTCAAGAACATTGAAGTTGGGTCGTTTAACAATGTAAGCTTGACTATTCTGTAGTCAACTTACAAAAAGTAAACTCCAATGAGAAGTCAACCTTGTTACATTTTCCCGATGGACGGCAGCAAGAGTCGAACCTACAATGTGCAAAATTAAACTGTCCACCCATTACCGTCCGGTAGGCCACTGTCCATCAATGTTGAAGGCGGTGCCTGTTTAATTAATGCTGCAAACTTCAGTCTGCGGCACGTGGCCAGCCAACATGCCAGCACACAACCTGGGAAGTGACTTTTTAAACTCTGGGAGCTCTCGGAGAGCGCGCGATTTCAAACACAGATCACGAAGTAAAGTACAATTGGAAACTGCCAACGTTAACTACTCATTGGAAGATCGAACAGCTCAGATTTTCTTCTGTAGTGTCGAAAAAAATGGATCAAAATATTAAATGAGTTCAACGTACCATCAGTGTCCGAAGATAACCAGAACGAAGTTCAAATTAGGGCATTGTGGATTTGGAGGTTTCCATAGTATATTATTACAATTCTGAATATTTCTGTCTGACCGAATAAAGTTCAGCTGAAGGTTTGCGCCAATACAAAATGCCGCCAAACAACAGGATACCGTGGAAGTGCACGCTGTAAAAGTAGAGCTCATGTATAGGGAAAAGGCCATGGTTCATGCTCACACATCGTAACAGCTGATGCGCTAGACCTAATTGTTATAGACGGTTAAACTGGGTCATGTTCACGGAGAATTTCGCACGAAGAGATTCGTATTTACCGTGTGTCGTGTATCGACCACCCAGCAGCGGGTCAATCCGCCAACGCGGCTTCCATTCATGGGGTGAACAAATCGGAAGTTATTGCTTGGCACTCCCGTTGCTGGCCTGGTTATTAGACCTGCGTCACTTCGCATCGGCAATGGCGCAAATTCAAGCTGAGTTATTCCCATCACGAACTTTCTTTTCCGGGCAGTACCGGCACAACGAGGTCGCCAAAGATGTCAATATAGGACCATAATGCTTGATTTGTTTCGCGAGTTCCACCATGGGCATCTCATTTTTTAAACCATGCACCATTAGATTGTGTCCGTGCCTCCGTGGTATAATCCTGTTTCAGATACCTTGAAAACATTTAGATACCTGAATACACTTAATATCTGCTTCATATAAAATTCTGGACGTGCAACAGGGTGTCCGTTTTGAAAATTGATCGCCAAAATGTCCTTGTACTGTAGGCAGGAAGCTTGACGGATATGTGAATTTATTTATACCGTACGTCATTTACAACAGGTCCATGGTTATTCCTGTATTGTCAGAATTAGCCTGTCTCTTTATGAAAACCATGCGTCTCACTCTGTTTTATGAAAACAACCACAACACTACAGTCAAAAAAGGGACATGTGCTATATGTACTCGCATTCAAGCGCACGCTGAATTATATTCCGTGTTACCCTGGAACGTGTTTACATGCAGATACCGCGAAATTACATTTTATCCCAATAGGTTGAACACATGAGATGCATTAATGAAACGTAGGCTTAATTCTTCATGCTTGCAGTTTTCACATCGACTGCCGAGATCTGAGCATTTTTGGTTTGGAAACAGCAAATTCTCCTGGACGACCATAGATGAAGCGTGCTCGATGAAAACAATCATCTTTCAACCTTAGAAATATTTGAAGGAGGAAAAATTCACCCAATTTAGGATCTTCGTCTTAGGGGAAGGTTTGGACTGTAAACTGTGAACTCAACTCCTCAAGACATACCTCCTATCGATATATTTGCATCTTTAACCAGTGCCACGTTAGCCGTCTGTTTAGATGTAGGCGTCGATAACAATATTGAAATTTAAAACTAAGTGAGTACAAAGATCACCGGCGAGGTCACAGATCCGGCGTGCCGCTAGTGTAAACAAAGTGCATTCCAATGGAAATGGTGTACTGGGATACACCGACACCCGTTTGCATTGACTCAAAATACCAGTAGGCCCTGTATTTAAACCGTCACAAATATTTCATTTTTGTCTACGGCAGGCTTTGCCATTAATCTCGTTCTTGCAGTGTATGGGAAAACAACATGGAAGTTTGGCCATTAGCGTTGGGATTGTTGTTTGTGGTGCTGGTGGTGGTCACCACTATACTCTTCACGGATCGTTTGTTTGTCAACATCACTGGTAAATATGTCCTCATCACTGGATGCGACAGCGGCTTTGGCAACTTACTTGCCCGTCGTCTCGGCGAAAAACGGGGCTGCCATGTGATTGCTGCCTGCCTGACAGAAGCTGGAAGGACTGCGCTTGACAGTGTGACGTCATCAAATGTAACCACTATCTTCATGGATATCAGAAACAGCGACAGCATTCAAAGAGCACGCGATCGAGTAAAGAGTATTATACCAAGAGGCGAAGGTAAGACAGTGAACAGGTGTAGACCTTCTGTAGCTATCTTGAAACAGAAATATAACCTAACTGGTTGATTTTGCATTGAAATTAGAACATCTGAATTATGGAAAATATGAGACTTAAGAATTTAAAACGAAGTGCACAGGCTCAAAAAAGTCATACCCGCGTTGATGCAATTACATCAAACCGATTTCTTCAGAAGAGTGTCGATAGTGTAGTTCAGGTTGTAACACGAGCCTTCAACGCCCACATGCACGTGCTATGTTTAGAATTCTTCTCCAATCAAATTTAAAGTATTCAGGATTTTAATTTGACAAATGCTTCCATCAGGAGTCGTTGATCGGACGTTTTCATTAACGTCCTATGTATTCCACGATAATTGGCTTTGATGTAAAATACAACGTACTGCATCACTTGGCTAGGGAACAGTGGACCAGGGGAGGGCAATAAAACTGGTACAGAACACCGAAGGGGACGGGAGGGGTTTCGTGGAGAGGTCTGTTAATGGCTGACGCCTGATGGTTTTACCCCCCCCCCCATTGTGTCACCGCCGTTCGCCAACTTAAGGAGGGTTAACAAGTACTACTACGTTGTTAGTTTAGCGGCATGACTTATGTTCAGACTACAACAGTTTCCTAAAATAAACTTGTTCAGGTTGATTTGCAATTTGGATATAAAACAACTCCTGATGGGATTGTTCTATATTCAGTTTAGATAGCGGTAACCCCTCCATTACAAAGAATCATGTGCCCTAATGCGACACAAAAGCACAATACTGTTTTCTTCAATCTGAAGACATGCTTGTGTGATTTGCATTGGCGAAAGTGTATTTACTGAGTGGAGTGGATCTTCGACTTAGGACTGTGGGGACTAGTCAACAATGCCGGAATTATATCCGCCTTGGGTCTTCCTCACTGGCACACGAGACAAGAGGTAACTAACGTAATGGAAGTCAACCTCCTGGGCACGATTGACGTCACCAACACTTTCTTCCCGCTGGTAAGGGAGGCACGAGGCCGGGTCGTCAACGTCTCCAGCGGAGTGGCGCTGTTTCCCACCGCGGGGAGCTACTACGCGGTGTCCAAGGCTGGGGTGGAGGCCTACTCGGATTTTATAAGGTAGGTTCAAGAGTACCTTTGACCTCTAACCTCCTGGATATTTGACATGATGAAAACGGACCATCCCAGCGAGGTGACAATCTCCCACTCTTCTGTCCCTATTGTTCGTAGCCTACAATTTTAACTGTGAGGCCGACCGCAGCGGGGAATACAAACGCCTTTAAGAAAAAAATCACTTACGTCTTTACACTGCCTTTGTTAGATTTGGATTCTTCTGTAGGCGATGTCAATAGAAAGCTAAATTCGTTACACATTCACAATCTTGTTTTGCCTTTTCCTGTAATATCTGGTATGTGCAGGGCGTCTATGCAGCTATCTGGAGTATCTGTGCATATCATTGAGCCTGGTTCTTTTAAAAGTTCGTTTGTCAACCCGCAAACAACAAAAGACTTGCTGAAGAAGCTTTGGTACAGGCTACCCTTAGAAGAACGTCAGGATTTTGGTGGCGAGAAGGCCTATAAAGCACGTAAGTTTAACATGCGCTGCAGTGGCAATTTAAGACAGTCTTTAAGTATTTTGTAAAGGAATACAAAAGTAAAACGATACCGTCTTTGTAGGTGTACCTATACCTGTAAAAAAAGGGAGACGGAAAGCTGTACGTCCAAACAACTTTAAATCGACAGCAAAATGATGTTTTCGTCGCCATGGTAATACAAACTGAATAATTGTGGTATTGTGGGTTTTTCTGTTTTCACTCTTAACAGTTGAACTAACCATGTCACAAGCTTTGGAAATGGCGTCTTCCGACCTGCACCTAGTCACGGATGCCATGGAGCATGCGCTGAGTGCCAGGTTTCCATGGCGACGATACTTGCCCGGTTTGGAAGCCAAGTTATTTTACAAAGTTTTCTCGCTCTTACCCGCCTTTTTCACTGATTTTGTCTTCGCCTTGGGGCTCAATTTCCTCTTGAAAAGAAATATGAAGACTTCTAATTCTGTCACATAAAACGTGAATGGTCATTTTGTTTTTGGATGCAGTCCTCTAAACTAGTTTATGTTCCAGTAACTAAATTAAGAAGTGATAATAGACTGCAAGAGAAGTGTAAAATCTCATAATGAAAAGCGTATTATGGATTCAAGTAAAGATTTTGTATTATAAATTATGACTAGTTTCATGAAATGTTTCTCTTATTCCCAAACTGAAAAAAATAAATAAACCTATTAGCATAGCATTATTCATACGTGAACATCTATGAAGCAATCCATGCTTTAAAGTTTGGTATATTCCAGACTAACAGTTACTTTCAGTTGGAATAGAAAGTTATTTGGTGTTAGAAATGACAAATAGTTGAAAATTGTTTCAATTAGCAAATGAAAACCACGGGTAAAATAGTCCTCATGAAGTATGGCCGAATGAGATGTCTGTTCATTATTTTTGCATTCTTGTATGCCTCTCATTTTTGTGTTATGTTTTCCGTTTGTAGGATCAGGGGTTAGGGAATGCAAAATATCCGCACTTAGGGTGATAAAAGTGGGCAGGAGGGTCAAAATAACGCGTGGACTTTTTAATTTTTGAAATTTTTTTAGTTAACGTGGTATCTTAACTTCTTTTTTTACCCATTTGTTGATTGTGTCATCTTTTATTGTAAATCCTGTGCAATTTGACTACGAGACATGAGTTTCAGTAAACCAAGAATGAGTGAATGACAATCTAACACGGTAGCTATTGGATTTTATTAATTATTTTAGTGGCCTATTGTCGAAAAAGAGAGTTTGGGGATTAAAAGGTCTTAATTCGAACGTAGACTGAAATCAAATGAAAGTTCAGACACTGTCCTATTTTGTCACTTATATAGAAACAAATACATGTCCCTTTAAACTCCATCAAATACAAATGAACGTCGCCCGGCACGCAAGCAATGAATAATGAACAAATTCTACACTCGAACGGGCAGGTATAATTGTATTTCATTATACAAATTGGAAAGGTTCGCCACATTTCGTTCAGTCAAATCCGAGGTCGAGCATTAAGTTAATGAGAAAATGAGACTAGCTTTTTCAGTCACCTATCAGAAATGTGCTGGTATTAGTAACATTTAATAATGCATTGTAATTATTTTTGGATTTTATGAAGCACTCACAGCTGGAAAATACTCAGGTTTTTAAACAGCCTTCATGGTGCCGCTGTTTATTCTACTTGGGCTTTTAAACATGGCTATTAACTGCAAGTGCAATCCTAGTTGGTTAAAAACAGTGAAGAGTGACTGATCGTTTGTCTTATACGTCAGATATGTCCATCATTAAATCTGAAGTTTTTGATAGATAAATCATAAAAATTGTGGGGTTTGGGTGTGTTTTTTTTAGGTTTTTTTTTTGTTTTGCATCTTGCACAGTCTGCTATTAGACTATTGGTGTCATTAACTGAACTCTGGCAGCAAACTATTTAAAGTCAACTAGAGTATTTTTAGCTCCCAGAGGTCAAAGAACAGCGCTTCAGTAGTCAGAAAGTGCGTCAAGTTTATAGTACAGAGTTCAAAGTACATGGGAAAACCACTGACCTCTTGTCAGTACAGTGGTCTCCTAGCACAGACTATTGGCTTTTTCTCAACACACAGCAGGTAGGTTATTGCTCACGATTTCACGTGTGTCCTGGTCATGAATTGTGTCCAAGGACGAGGAAATGTAAGCGCAAGTGAGTCTATTGTATAGAATCTCTCATCTGATGTGCCGGTCTGTGCTGGCCCACCCACAAACCTTTCCGCCGCCAATTACAATTACTTATGCTATCATGACACTATTCGACGACCTGTACTACGTTTGACTTCTAATTGTCCATTGTAACAACCTTGAACGAAGGAGCATGATTACTTCTCAAATACCGTGATGTTAGCCACTGTTGATAACGAGTGAAAAGATTGTAATGCATAAAGAATCATTAAGCATATCCATCATCTAGTTTTATACATCAGCCTCAACCTCGTTCTCATACTTGTGTGGTCTCAATTATGCTCGGTATGTTTATCATTTCTAAAACCTTTAGTTCGGGAACTCGATCTCAAAACGCTTGAAGTACAGCAACAGACAGCAAGGATGTTGGTGCTGGTAGGCGCAGCGGCTGCCGTATTCGCCTGCCTGGTGCTGATCGTGCTGCTGGATCGCATCTATCTGGACACCAGCGGCAGGTACGTCCTGATCACCGGCTGCGACACGGGCTTCGGCAACCTGCTGGCCCGCAACCTGGATAAGCGCAGGGGCTGCTGCGTGATAGCGGCCTGCCTCACCGAAGAAGGCAGAGACACGCTGAAGCGTGTGGCGTCGCCCAGGCTGACTACGTTGCGACTGGATGTCACAAGCAGTGAGAGTATTCGGGATGCGCGTGATGCGGTAGAAGCCTTGATCCCAGAGGGAAAAGGTACATGTGCACCCTTGAAAATTTAAAAGGGAAAATTGGGATTCCCACCTCCATGCATTGGAGATGGGGGCACGTGTCCCCTCCCGCGGCCACTGGCTTCATTAATTATTGATAACATGTAAAAACATTCTCCAAGGGGATTGCAGATGGCATCTAAGTTACATAAACACAAAGACTAATTCTTTGTTTACATTACTTATTGAGCAATGCGGGCACAGACTAGTACTTTTCCCCTCAATTTGTACTCTAAACGTTACATCTGAAATTCATGAAACTAACGCTCATATTTTGAGACTTGTGAAATCTTAACATGTTTCAGGAGCACCGGCTCACAGTCATCCGAGATAAGCCACTGCACTGAAAAATTACCTGGGTTAAAATTTTAACCCAAGCGAGGGTAAAAACTGCAACTATAGTTCAGGTTGTTTCAACTTAGTCTGGGTGATTGAAATCAATTTCTGGTTTGTTTTAACCAAACAGCGGTTACTATCCGCTTATTTTGTGGATGAAAACTGAAACAGAAAGTTATTCTCAACCAAAAATTGGGTTAATACAGCCCATATTTGGGTATATAGTTGCAGTTTTCACCCATCCTAGGGTTAAAATTCAACCCAAGTAAGTTTCCAGTGTGACCGGCATTAAAAGCTTGCTAATTTAAACATGCTCTGTATCATAAGTCCGACTTGCCAAACATTCTGCTGAAAACGGACTAAGCGATAGTATTTCTACGCAAAAGTGTATAGCCTAGTTGTTCCCTCGTCGAGACAGATTTTGTTTGTCTCAGCCTGCAGGTATGCACAACTCTCGGGAACAAAATCGGTTTGTTATACTATTCATAATTATTTTCCTCAGGATTGTGGGGCCTAGTCAATAATGCTGGAATTATCTCTCCGCTGGGACCATACCACTGGCTCAATAGGGAAGACATCTCGAAAGTTCTGCAAGTCAATCTTATTGGCGCCATTGAGGTGACAAACATGCTTTACCCGTTAATCCGCGTTGCCGGAGGACGAATTGTCAACGTGTCCAGCGCCGTCGCGCTGTTCCCGTCATCGGGCACGATATACACAGCCTCAAAGGCTGGGATAGAAGCTTTCTCCGACAACATCAGGTATTTGGGGAACTGGCTTTTTTTTCTCCTTTTTTTTTTTTTTACTAAATCTTGCCCTAATAGTAACGTATTACCTGATGTCGGCAAGGTGGTATGGTGATTTCGAAACACCGTTTTTAGTGCAGAGTATGTTGACTTTAAAGAAAGAAATAATAGCACTAGCCATGTTTGCATTTTCTGGTCAATGGGTTCAATGTAAATTTTCAACAGGAACGTTTTCTGCATGTGCAGGTACTTCTGGCGTTTGTTCCTATTTATTACTATGTACAGTTAAGCAGCGAACACAAAATGACATTTACATTAAACTTGAAATGCTGTTCAACTAACTGTTGTTTACATTTAAAAACTGATCAATACCCGTCCACGCTCTGCCAGAAGAGGGACCAAATGAATCCTGCACGAAATAAAGGAATTTGTTTTCAGGCTAATTCGACTGCTTAAATCAAGTTTACAGTATAACTGATATCAAGTTATAGAGTTGGGAACTCTTCAACTGGTATCTTTGGTTGATGGCATATTAACTTTAATTTCTGTCAAAAGATCAGTATAAATGTGATTGTTCAGCCTACGTCAGCACACACACATATATACATTGAATTAAATTTCCTCTAATTGATTTCCTCTAACTCCTCAGTATTAAAAGTGGTCTTTTTTTAAGTAGGATATGAAAACAAACTCCTGCAGTCTTGGCATCCGCAACCCTGTCATCATACTGCCATGAAATGAATTAACTGTTCCCCTTTCCAACTCTTGGCCCGCATGAACCACAAGATGCGACATGAAGCAGTCAGACGTGTCGGTTCACATCATCGAGCCCGGGGCGTTCCAGGGTACATTCTCCGACACGGATGCCATGAAACGAAGAATGGACACCGCTTGGGGGCGTCTGCCGCAGGCAGAGAAAGACCACTTTGGCGGAGACATTGCACGAGAAGCAAGTGGGTTCAATTTGGCCAGCTATAATTCATCACTTTACATTATAAGTTGTTTCACTGTTCGATAGCTTCCCCACGAACTGCTTCTTCTGTGCACAAGCGGGGGAGCTAGGAGATCTCCGTTTTAATCTATCCCTCGCATTTTAAATGATTATAGATCTTTCGCTCCTTTGCTAAATGAGCCATGCCTGCATGCGTATGAAGATTTATACAGACTTGCCTATCGAAGTATGGGTTAAAATTTTAAAAGTTCAGTCAACGTTATCACACTCCCTTGTCGTTTTTTGTTAAGCTTCAGGTCGTGAACCAGCTCGGTATTTCAACAGAGCGTACCAAAATTAAGTGCTTTCCAAAATGAAACAGCAATACGCGTGCGTGAGTTCATTCTATCAGCGAGGCCACCATCATAGGACAGGTTTGCGCGAGGACTATCCGGTTCGGTTCGTAAGTGACTTAGTCATACACAACGACGCGCCACGACGTGACGTTCGGGCTCCCACTGGACGATCGCTGAAGTTGCCCGTTAATTTCCCATTCCATGTAAACGGCGATCAATGCATTTAGCTCTATGTGCAGTGCACGTGCAGTGGGCGTGGTTTAAACTGAAGTGACGTCACACTTACGAACTGGATGGTTAACAATAGATGGATTGCACATTAGCGCCATCTGCGCATATCTGCATCGAAACCGAGCCTCTCTGTTCGATCAACAATGGATGGTTTGGACTATCTAGTCAACCCTTTGGGACCAGGCCCAAATGTATGGTCGCGCCGCTTAGCAATAGTCGATTTCATTTATCATTACGGAGGCAACCGTTCCCATGACAATAATTGTACACCATTCAATGACCAACGGAGAAATAATTATGAGTAACGATGAGATTTTAAAAAGTAAAATGTAGGCTGACTAGGGTCGTTCGAGAGTTACTGAATTAATTAAGCGTCCGCATTGTTAGAAGACCATCTGACTACTGGCTGAACTATGGTTTACGTCCGAACTTGCCCAACAATGTCGGATGAATTATTCTGATGTCTATCGGCCACATGCCAACCATTGCACGCGTGCTTAGTTCTCAAATGACCTTGCCTTTTTGAAGCACAGAGCTTGGCTTATTCTTTGCTAACACTCTGATGTTTTTCACTACCCAAAACTAAACTGAACTCTGATTCGTTATGTTCAATTTCGTTTCCAGTGCAACTTCTCATTGTTGACGCCCTTCGTATGGCATCCCCTAAGTTGCATGAAGTGACAGATGCAATGGAGCACGCCCTCTGTGCCCGGTTTCCTTGGAGACGCTATCTACCAGGACTGGACGCCAAATTCTTCTACAAACCGATGTCTCTTCTTCCTGCCTTTTTGGCGGATCGTATTTATAGTGTTTTGTTTAGACAGGCTTTGGAAAGTAAAAAGGAGGTTGTGAGAAAGGCCAAAGCGATTAGCAAAAGCGATTAACGTAAAATCTAATCAAAATTCTTTTATGTCGTATGATGTACCGCCTATATTTTAACAATGACACTGTTGATTACTAAAACGCAAAACCTTTCTATCTATTGTAGGGCGAAGGTCACACTGAACTACCATTTGACCACTCTTGCGATTAAGGGTTCCAGGTCTTTCCCTGACTCAGAGACACGTTGTATATCAATTAAGTAGGCCCATCACTAATCCCAATCTTTACAAGAATTACAAAGGATGACTGATGGAACCAAACATTATGCATCAGTAATCTATTATGAAATCTATATACTGTAAGTCTGTTTATGCAAACCATCCTCAATAATTATTTGAGAAAGATTCTATTGAAAACTTTTAAAAAGATTTTGCAACGACGTTACTCATTGTGCACAGTATTAGTACGAAGTATTTAGTTTCACGATAATGTAATTGTATGTGGTAATATTATTTACAGATCGTGGGGTTTGGACACGTGGCACCAACGTCTCGTGTGCAAAGGCAAACTAATTTCCGGTGCTGTGAGATGGCAGCATTTAGGCATTTGATGTTAAATTACAGCATCATTAACATTAATAATACCAAAACGGAGGTATTAAAATACGTCCAAAAGTAAGACAATAAAATTGCAATAAAAATTAAAGTAGAAGCGTTATATAAAACATCGCTTCTGGGCGAAATTAATGATAAGTATACAAATAGGGGAAGTCAAAAACACTCATAAAAACGAAACCATGTAGGGCCTACAACACTTAAGACAGCACACCTGTCTTAACGCTTTACATATACTTGTCCTCGAATTATTAGGCTACTATAATGTTCTCAAATTTGAACACCTAGCATTGTACATAATAACAAATATAGCCCAACATCGTAGTAATTTGGGACAGTTTCTATGTGATAAATTTCAACAACCCTGAGACAGCTGTCGGGACTGCTGCAATGTATGGAGGAGGAACGCATCCACGTTGAGATCATCCAGCCTGATTTAATTGGGAAAAATCGAAATGGTCCTGGGAAAGGATCAATTTTGCAAGTAGTGCACGTGGATTCAGATTTCCGACCCCCTTTAATCAATAAACTGAACTTGACTGAATAATTCAGTCAGAACATGATGCCAGCCCGAAAAGAATAAATAAAACTGACTAAGGGAATAGGCCTAGGCCTATTCTGTGTTAATGTCTTTGCTATATTAGTTTTTCTCAATTCGGAACTTCACTGTAGTTGCGCAATGAAAGCAGGGACCAGTGGCAAACATTTCAGCTTTTTGGAAAAATGGTTAAGACATTTTTGAGAAATGACCTCAAAATACTCTTTTTTTTGTTTCTTAAAACTAAAAAAAACTGTAGGTTGATCAAACTTTGAATCACCCCAGTCAAAAATGTCCACCCCACATTGCCCGGCAACGGATTTACACCCTTGGTTGCTGCACTATGAATTTGGTGGACACCCTGTGCTTACAAGTTGGACAAAGTTACTGGCTCGTAGTTTAAAAACAAAATTAAAGTGCGTCGGGGCACATCTTTAGGCCTACATATTAGGCCGTGTTTGAATCACTTGGCTGCGGCTTGAAATTACACACAAGTCTAAGGTAGTGGCTGCGTCCAGCTAGTTCCCATAGATTTGTGTGCAATTTCCGGCCGAAGCCAAGTGATTCGGACACGGCGTTACATGTTATAACACCCCGAGTAGGATCATCGGACATTTCCACGGTGTCACAATTTTATTTGCATCACCAACTTGTCACGACTGTTATGTTCCACATACGCTGCAAAATCTAGAGCTCTTTTGTATCCCTTGGTGAAAACCGATGCAATAAGCCATAGAGAAAGTATTACTAATGACGCTAATGAGGTCAGTATTTGAGAAAATAGGGTAATTGTGGCAAAGGACTGAACACACCCTGCCTTTAGCTTTGTGAGTGACACAGCGGAAGACTAACACACTTTGCCATGTGAACCGCCTTCGGACATCTTGTCAGCCTCTCTTGTCGTTGCCATCTCTCCGAGGAACAGGTAATGCAAAGTTGCTCTCGAAATTCCCTCTATTTTGTTCTGCCCCTACGCTCGTTTTCTCCCTTCATGACATGCAGCAGCTGTACTATCAAACCCACATGCTTTTGAATGAGTTAAATTTGTCTCTACTATCGTGTTTCATGGGTTTTGAGCGTGCTTTATTCGCCTTGATTCTGAACACTGACAAAGGCTAGGAAACCTCGCGTGCGTGCGTAGTGGGCATTATTGTTCACGCGTGCGAATTCATGCGCACACAATGCCCACACCGAAGGCCTATCCGTGTCAAAATCGATTGGTCGCAGCGAATGTCGCGCTGCGGTGCATGAACAGCATGAAGCTATAGGCCTCTCCATTTATGTCCAACGCGTAACGAAGCCCAATACAGGCTTTCAACGCCTTCTACCATTTAAGCCCACGTTTTTTCAAAGAGCGTTCACTCTGTACGTGTGGTATTGATATTGCTCATACATGTAGTGAGAGCGCTTGACGCAAACATCTGTGTTTCATTATTGCTAGTCACATTATGGTCATTTTGCAACGCCCGCACCCCCCCCCCAAAAGTGAGTAAATACCGTTCGTTTCAAATTCAGACTGATGTCAACTGGTAGCATTTATAACCGACTCGGTTTTAGAACGGGACACACTGTGCTCGATGATGCTTTCACTTTATATTATTTCATTTCAATTTGATGAAGGAGAGAAAGACAAAGTAGAACACAAGCTCTCAAAAATGCTTGCTTTTAAATCTTAAAATTTAATGTTAAATGTGCTCATCAGTGCAGAAACACTATACATCCTAATTTCACTTTTCTCGGATGCAGTGCATTAACATTGTGATCTACTTTTCTTCAACTACCGTTAGTCACATTGCGTAGAGGCTTAAGCTATATTTGATATAAAAAAGTATTCTTTGCACATGTACTACCAAATATGGCCAATACTGCTAACCTGAATACAGTCCGAATGCAAAAAATCTGTAATATTTGTCTCTTACAAAGTATAAAGCCCTAAACTTGCTAGGCGTAAACAGTAAAATTCTAGCACCTTTACCTTGGTCACTGATGTGCATAATTCATAACAAAAATAACTGTCTATAAAAATGTGAATGTTAAATCTAAACAAATATATTAAAAGCTGAACAGAGAAAACTAACAGGTTATAAAATCACATAGCCAGCCACGCTGTAAATTTTTTTTCCAAAAAATTTCAAATATGAAAAGGTTTAATGATAATACATGTATAATATAATAATGATTTCAATAATTAACATTTTCTTCCATAAATTTTTAAAGGGTATTATTTACAAACTGTACTGGTAACCCGAATTTTTCAGTTTCTTTACTGTTTCATAGACAGCACAAAATCAGTTTATAGCACTTTTATTTTACCATACAGTAAAGACATTAACATCGTGACATTTGATCTTGTCGGGTTTGGTTTCCTAAAAGTCACTTTACACCCCCAAAATTAGACTGGTGCAATATGCAAGACAAAGTACAGTAAACTATTGCCTTCTTTTCTGGATGCAAACAAAAATCACCTCGTAAGGCCAAAAAAGGCTCCAGTTTATGGTCAGTGCGCGCATTGCCGTAGACCTGCACATAGGAAAAATAAGTTTTTTATTTGGTATTAAATGATGTCCAAAAGCTGCCAAATTTACTTTTTCGACTGTAATTTAATCCTGTTACTGCCTAATTTTGACGTGTTTTTGATGGGGTACGGTTGAGTAATACTGTACGTACAGTAAAGGAGTTCCTCTAGTTTCCCATACATTTAGTCGGGAATTCTTTTACAGATGACGTCATTTCTATATTTTACATTTATATGTACATCTGGGAACCAGACAAACGAGCTGGTCTAATATGTCCTGTGTACATGTACAAGCTGAAAGTGCTTTAAAACAGTAAAATGTGTGGGGACCACTTTATTTTAGCAGCCAGCGTTACCCGCGCATGCAGTCGCAATGGACATCACACGTTATCATACATCATTTCCAGAAAAAAAAGTGAGGGGAAAAAAAAGAAGCTGCTTTGCCGCACCACTTTTGGAGCCAGCTCCTAAACCAGAAACTGGAGACCTTTTTGGCTAGCATAACTGCATTTCTAAAATCCATTAGTTTCTCATTTTAGTACTGAAGTCCAGCTTATTCCAAATACCCAACAGTAAATAAGCCTTTTGCGAGTTAAATTTGAATAAAATCTGCTAAACTGAGTTATCTATTGCACATAAACATAACAATTGAATTCCCCAGACTAAAGACACTGTTGCTACACCTCGTGACTCAGGGCAAACTTTTGCATAGCGACCACCATCTCTGAAATGGACTGGTTCCTTCCTGCCCTTCTTATCCATTGAAAACAGTATATTAATGCAAGGCATCTCTTATGTAACTAAGGAAAACTAAGAAATCACGAGGTATAGCTGCAGCAACAGTGTCTTTAGTTAGGAGAATTCAAACTGTTATGTTCACACAAATTTTAAGAATTCAGTGTACCAGATTTTATTAAAATTACTTCGCAAAAGGCTTAGTGAAATTTGCCGAGGCTGTCAACCACTCTCACCAGAAAACCATCAAAAGTGAAAATAGAAATCAATGTCTCAACTCAAAGGCTTCAAAAGCTTTTCAGAGAACAGACCAAACAAATAGTTTCCTTCGTGCTTTGGCTTGAAAATATAACAGCCAAAATAATACTGTGTACTAATCTACAGCTCAGCGTGCTTTTCCATGTAGTGATTTCTAACACTTCGCCGTCTGCGTCGGTTCTCTGGGTATGTGACCTGGAAGCGACCCTGGTCAACAAAGCTTGGAGTGAAGACAGGGCTCCCTACTATCAGACCATGGTGCGCATACAGGCCCTGGTCCAGAAGCATAGTGGATCCTGAAAGTCCAGAAATACAAACTCGTCATCAATAGTGATGGAATTTCACTGCTGTAACTTGCTGTATACAGTTGCCAGAATGTTTATGTTAAAATAAAAAATTCTCCTGCATTTTCACACATTCCACTGAATGCTCGGTCTTTGACCTACTACACAAGTTGAAGAGTGTTTGAGTGTCAAATGGAGTAAATATTACAATTTATTCTCAAGACCAAGTTTCAACAAAAAGGCTTTTTAACTCCAAAAGAAATTTTACAAAACCTCAGAGCAAATACTTTTAAAGAAACAGTTGTTCATCTGTTATTGCGGGCATCGTGATACCTTCTTTTAACCAGATTTAGATTGGAAACCTTAACAGGTTTACTGTCAGAAAGTGAGGTTTTCACCAGAAGTGACGTGTCCAAACTTGTGTCCTACCTTGTTCCTCATTGTCCATATTATAGTGTGCGTCCAGCAGATCTTTGTGTTTCTGTCGTTCCAGGCTAGCTAGCTGCATGTGCTCCTCAATCTCAGCATCAGAGAGACTTACACCCCATATACGCACCTGTCATAAAAACAACATTGCTCAGCAATCTTCTAAAAGTGGTAAGCCTTGTGGCAGACCTGTCAGTACTGGTAGAGATACATGTATTGTATCAGATTTAAAGTTTTCTCATGGTGAAGGTGGCAAGCAAAGGTAGTGGGTTTGCACTCGAACCATTAAAAAAACCTTTTTTGTGAGTACTGGCTGGTATGTGTGGTTCTGATAAGAACTGGAGGGTACTCGAACGGTATGCTCACAACTGGTACCACAGCAAACCCATCGCCTTTGCAGGTATTGTACTTTGGTAGGTTAAAAAAGTGGTATACTAAGGTAACGAAACCCATCTGTTAGGGTCAAATGACAAACAGTTCAAATAAAGTTACGTTTGTTACATGCTCAGACAGTGATGAAACTCAAAATTTCCCAAATATCCTGAAATCCTAAAAACCATATGAGATTAAGGTGAGATTTGTAGGCCTAAATTGAACAAGTTGGCATCTCTGTAGACAGGGTCAGAAAATACACCAAATATAAGGAAACTGTGCCGCTTTCAAACCTAATTAATGTGACTAAAGGCTAGCAGGAGCTCTGCATATGACCCAGGACATCCTACTTACGCTACAGGTATAGGACCTAATCCGACAAAAAGTCTCCATTGCAATCCTTCTCCTCCAACCATTTCGAACTAAAGACATTTCTTATACTTTTGTCAACGTCCTTTATATTGCGTGACTGATCTACCACTTTGTACATGTTGCCGATCGTTGAATGAAAAGCAGATTATTTCGCTTGACAGCTTGACATGATACAAGGCTCAAAACAGAACATGTCAGACGAGTAGCAAAGCGCAGGCGCATAAGAGATACAGCTTCTAGTCTTTGTGCAAGGCGTTATTCTACCCAAAATGGAAGAAGGCCTTTTTTATATGCGCGCGTTAAGTCGTGTCTGTGTGTGATGTCTGTAGATGGATCTATTCTATAAACTACTCACGTCAGCTCGTTCTGCATGCAATTTTTACATGACAATGCATGAGATTGAGGTTAGCTATAAAGTGTATTTTCACCAGGGACATAAAATCAATTAAAATCCGGAAAATCCAGGAAATATATTTCTGCCGCGCTGATATCCGGATTTTCGGATAAATCCAGGTAAGTTTCAACACTGTCAAGAGGATAAAGGAACAGATTAACCTACCTCATCCATTGTTCCGCTAAAGAAATAGTCTTCATTTCTACCAATATGCACTTGGGCACTAACATCCTGTTAAAGAAGAGAAGTGCGGTTAGGGGAAAAAGTGCATTGAAATTGAAAGGAAAATAAACAAAAAGGAAACAAAAAACCAAAACCGAACAAAACAGGAAAAAAACTGAACCCACAATGCCAGAAAAAATGAATGCTGTCTTTCAGATTCGTTCCAACAATACCTACCCATTCAGGGGTTCCAATGTTGGCTTGTGTGGTTCCAGCATTTCCATTGATGAACACAGTCAAGTGTCTATCTGAAATGATACAAATATACACGATACCCAGCATTCACAAATGAATCTTGCAATAGATGTCAAAGAAGATTCTGAATTATTATATTCAGTTGCTTTCTCACAAAATCCAATTCTTTTAAGCCAAGTATTAAGCCCAAAAATGCTTACCTCAAAAACTCTACTGCAAACCAATAGAAATACTTCTCATTAAAGGCCTTGCTTATGTCAAAGTAACTACAAGACATGGCAGAAAATCTTGCAGATGAAGCGTCTGGGTGGCAAAATTATTGCACATGAAGTTTGCGTCTCTTTATCAGAAAGTGCAGGTCACAATTCAATTGATTTACACATTCTAAGAATACTTCTCTTACTTTGGGCGTCAAATCTCATTGCCAGGTGTGTCCAGGTGGAGTTGGGTAGAACTGTATTGCCAACAACAATTTGATCACCTACTCTGCCCCTCAGGTACCTACACCAGACATAGACAAACAGTGTATTTGTTAGAGCTGGCAGCTAACCATTGATGACGATAACAAAATGCATACTCTATTGTCTGGTTGGATAAACCCATCGTGCCAATGTCAGTCATAAAATCTTGGCCTCAGTATGACTACTTGTATCCTTAAGTCTGCGTCCAGGTCTGGTGTGGAAATACTGGCATTTCCATCATTCAAGTCAGTATTGTCAGTGACTAACCCATTTTCTATGAACATGCAAAGTCTTCGATCGAGAGTGCACACGACGGGCATGGTGACCAAGGGGTAACTTGAAGGAAGGTGCACCCATGCTTCCAGGGTGAAACTCGAGGTAAGTTGCAAGGTTTCTAGGCTAGGAAGGATGACGTAATCATCAACGCCATCAAACTCCAGTGCCTGATTGACCCTGAAACAAATGAAAATTATAAACCAAGATGATGTCAAAGGTGAGGTGCAAGGTGTCTGTGAGACAGGATGATATTGTCACAAGCTACACCAATTCTTCAGACTGAGTTAAGCAGCACTTGAATAAAAGGACAGGAAAATTTAATACCACAGCATTTGAAATAGTGGTTTGACAATGGCACAGAAATAAAACCAGCTACACCTTCAACTTAACATGGAAAACTAGCAGGTACTCAGAATCACAGGAACCTTGGTAAGTATCCTTGTTCACGGGAGTAAATCCTTGTTTCTAGCATTTTGCATTCAATGACTGAAGTGTTAAAGCAAACAAAAGTATGAGTGAACAAACCAAACATTTTCTTTGTCAGTTTCCCATAATTCCTATGTAGGCTCTCTTTTGAACCATTTTCTCACCTTGTTTACTCACTTTTCAGAACATGCTGAAATGTTCAATTTTAGATTTTTGCCCTGCCCGACGTGTATCACACCGTATACTCAGTGTTTACCCCCGAAGGGCTTGTGAAAAAACCACAATCGTACTCGGGCGGGAGTCAAACCCCAAACTTCCTGCTTACTCGTGCAGACATCTTAACTGCTCGACCACCGAGCTTGCCGAGGTCGGCTGGCTGGTTCGAGTCAGATGTAGCAGCGGGTACTGCGAACAACTACTTCCAAAGATGGAAATGATTAACAGGTTACTGCATGCCTGGTGAACCAAACATTTGTCCTGGATTACTTGAGAGGCAATTTGTCACCAGTTTTGCTCACAGCACCTACCTTTCAGCACACTTGTAGCTAAGTCGTGACCATATGACATCCTTCTGATCATAGACAAACACCCCAAGTCGACCACCAAGGTAAGTGGCATCATAGATGTCTCCAGAGTCAGTCAAAGTCTCCTCTCCCACCTTGATGACAACTCTGCACAGGCAAAATGCATGACAGATACTAAACATATGGCTATGCTTATGGTTGGTACTAAACGTATGGCTATGCCTATGGTTAATACTAATCATATGGCTATGCCTATGGTTGGTACTAATCATATGGCTATGCTTATGGTTGGTACTAATCATATGGCTATGCCTATGGTTGGTACTACGGCTAATGTAATGCTTGCAATTTCAGTTACAACTGCAACATCTTAAACTATGACCATGGCTACCGAAAGTCTTTATTACACTGAACAAGAAGTTCCTTCAGGATGTTTACGACAGAGGCATGTTGCCCAAGGACATGCCAGGGTCATTCTATAAATTAGGGGTCCAATAGTTTTTGTGTCCCTGTCACACCTGGCATTCATGCTTTGTAAGTTCAGAACGTACTTTCTAATTTCCAAGAGGGATGAATTAATTCAAATTACCTGCCAAACAAATGTAAATAGTTTGAAATCAATTTCAGTGATATATCAATGTCAAATGACACAGGTCAGGTGTAATGGGCACAAAAAATTCACATTTTTGGATCCCGAATTTATAGAATGACCCACCTAGCATTTATGTAACTCTGAACACATGGAATATGTGACTGCAACTTCAGCTACCTCTGTCAGGTAAGTGTGAAAAAGACGAAAGTGTTATAAAGGATTTGCCATGGCAGGAGGATAAACTGATACACTGTATGTTAGTTGAAATGCAATGAAGATGTCATCCAACATGGGTTTGGCCACAGACACAGTGACTTTTTAATACCTGATTAATCCAATATCTGGCCTATGTGTCAGGAACCACTTGTACGAAGTTCGGTGCTGCCACCCCTGCAAAAATGGATCCTGCCAAAGCAGCTCAACCTGATTGGCGGTGGTGTAGGAGTGGTACAGGGCATCTGCCAATGATTGGCCAGGCCCACTGGCAGAGTTCACTTTCTGCAACAGGACGGGAGACAAATGCATCAACAAGGGACTACACAATGAACTGCATCAATCTGGTTGCAAGATGGACACAGACTGCAGTTCACGCCCCAAGGAAGAGGTTTTCCATGGCCTTCAGAGAGCAATGTTACAGTTGCTTCTTCTCACAACCGAGTGTGATCTAGATGTTAACATGGTTTACACAACTTACCTTAATCTGTATTCCCCTGATACCGCCCTTGTTTCTGGGATTGTTCATGTTATCATGTCGCCACATCACCACATAGAATTTCCGGTTGCTCTGGTAACCAAAGACAAAGCCGATGTAATTACTTCCCTCATCGGTGTTGACAAACATGGTCCCGCTGTAATCTACTGCTGCCAGTGTTGCCTGACCAATCAACATGGATGGCATGATGGTGTTGCTGATGTCACGAATCTCTTTCCCCTATACACAACAATGGAAAATTTCATAATCTTTAATCTGTCCAGGTGGGAAAGGTCTCAGGAGCATAATTTAATAATATGAAAACATTTACTGATTTAGTTGTTTGAGAGTTGTTTCTATCATCTCCCATTTTTAATGCAGGAAGACTTGCCATGCTCATGCATACAGTCCTCAGCCAAAAAGCTCTATGCATAAATGAGAGCAAGCTCTTTTTAACCAAATACCAATCTCCCTCTGAGCAAACTAAGTGCTCAGTGTATCCAAAAGTAGTTTCACAAATCTGAAAGACCTTTGCATGTGCAGTGAGCGGGTATGGCTAACGACAATCACCTGTAACCCCAAGCAAGCTCTGAATAAGCATTGCATGTACTGTTCACACAAACCAACTTATTTGCTTTTTCTATTTTGCTGACTTGAGCCATGTCCAAATCACTTGGCTGTGACTTGAAATTGTGTACGACTCTATGGGATCTGTCTACAGCCATAACCATAGACTCATGCATAACTTCAGGTAGCAGTCAAGTAAATTTGAACATGGCTATATCTTCCTATAACGTCATATTTATTTACTATAAAACAAGGGCGAATTCTGTTCAGATAATCAGAAACCAGCTTGACATACCTTATCGGTAACAACCCAGACTGGACTGGTGCCGTTGATGAGTCCAGAGTGTAACTCCACCGAGATGAAGCCTCGTGAGAAATCTGTAACTTGATACTTGTTGCTGTTGGGGCAGATGTCATCGCTGTCAACTGTGCCGTCACCATCGTAGTCTGTTTCACATGCATCTCCCAACTTATTACCTTGAGAGAGTTATTGGGCAAAAAGTTGTTTTCCTTGATGTGATTTGGTGATCACTTCTGTGGGCTCAAATCTCACTTGGATTTGAAGAGTATGGTAAGCAGCATTAAAAGGTTACAAGGAGTGTATGACATTGTTTTTTATAATTGTTTACCATGCTCCCAGTGGAAAAAAATTACAACCTGTGGCATGGAGTAGAAACGAACTTTGCAATTACAAATCATAAATGTCAGATTTACCATTTGTGTCTTCCTGTCCACTGTTTGAAACATAAGGACAATTGTCATCGTCATCCAAGATGCCATCACCATCTTTGTCACTGTCACACAGATCACCTGTGAGGAAAATTGTTTGGCTTTATCAGTGCCCACTTAATTTGGAGGTAGCATTTTCCAAACCTACTGAAAAGCAGTCTTTTTACAGGTAAGCAGACTAACACATTTGTACTCTTAAAAGGACTTGATCAGCAAAGAATTTGGACAGTAGTCACGGCCATAAATGGCAGTGCTGTAGTTGAGTCCATCACAAGTCCCTGTAAACCCTGCAAGTCCATCACAAGTCCATCACAAGTCATTCAGTCCTAGGTCACCATGATGAACTGTGACAAAAGCATTCTTTTGTCATTGTTCACCCTGTTACTTGTGACAAGACTTGTGAAAGGACTAATGACGGGACTTATGATGGACTCTACTACAGAAGTGCTAAGTGGAAGTGTTTTGTAAATAGAACTTAAGTGATGGTACTTGGGCAGCTACAGTGTTTTAGCTGAGTCCAATCAGGCCATCACAAGTCCAGTTACGAGACAAGTCATACCGCTAAGTTAGAGAGTGAACATTGGCAAGACCGGTAGGGACTTGTGACGGACTTAATAACATAATTGGGCATGAAGGTTTCAACCACATCTAGGGATGGCAAAATATGAGCAATGACTCACCAACAACATCAGCATCATTGTCCGTCTGATCTGCATTAGGAATGCTGATACAGTTGTCGTCTATATTGAGAATACCATCACCATCCCTGCAAAAGTAACATAATCTTGAATTAAAGTTGGTGAGTGCAAAAGCAGATCCAAATTTTCACAAGGGTCAAAAAATTTCAGAATAATACATATGACTATTCTGGGACCTTTCTGACAGGTGAGGCTACATTCTGGGGCTATTTACACGCACTGGAAAGAAAGAGAATGAAATAATTCCCCCTACTTACCATTTCTCATTATGTGTTATCAAAAATAAAAAAAAACCTTCGCCCCTCTTTGGTGGGCCATGATAACCCATAGGTCAACCTTGAATACGGTAATGTCTCAGTGCTGCACATATGATATTGCTCACCCTTTATCAAGTGGATCTACAACTTCATCCCTATCCCTAAGCAAAATGAAAAAAATCTTGGCTCGTAGTACTAATGCAGTTATCTAAGTTGAGAATGATAGATGCATCTCTGCAAAATAATGCCAGACTTCTGTCAGCAGTATAAGTATTGCAATACCAGCACAGCTTTTTGGACGCTATAGGGGAAAACTATCTATATGAAATAATTCAACAGTAAATTGAACCCTCTCCCATTCATATTGCAACAATATTATTACGTAAAACACCACTCTTATCCAAGAGAGATAACTGCCATCAATAATCATAACACTACAGTTGTAATCAAAGATTATATAGCGCCGCGTAGCGACGCAAGATGGGTAATTCGGACATTAAGGTGTTATCACCATGGGCACCATTCGAATGTGAACGTTAATGTGTGTGCCTGACTGTCGCGGCGCCTGTGCATTAACATGCACTGCGCAGGCGTAGTCCAACCAGAATGGCGCCCATGTGATAACAACGTTTTACACGTATTCATGGTGAAGTTCCCCATCTTGCGCCGCTATGCGGCGCTATACAATCTTTGGTTGTAATGCTGTTCTTGACAAATGTCGCTGTTGATTAAAATAAACCATTGTTTACCGTTACTTGTTTCAAGCAGTATTTTATCGTAACCGGGTATAGTTCGTCATGTGCCCAGCAGAAGGGCGTAAGCGCTTAGGCCCTTTTGCCGGGAAGCATAATCACTGCAAAAAAAACTTTTCCCGGCAAAAGGACGAAAGTATGCAACTTTTGTATTTTAAGGAAATATGAATATTTCTTGGCGAAAAGTAAAAAGAAAAAGGCCCAAGTCCCTTTAATAAGTTGTTCAAAGGTTGCTTTTTGTACAGCCCAGGTTGATTTTATAGTAAATTATATCCGTTTTTTACTAAATAAAGAGAGTGTGTTTCTTACACCCTTTTGCCGGGAACATTTTTTCTGCTGTGATCATGCTTCCCGGCAAAAGGGCGTAAGTGCGCTTACACCCTTCTGCCGGGCACCCAACGAGTTACACTGTCTTAATTTCGCAGCTTTTTGGGGGGACATCTTACATGTCTTTGTTTGTGCCACCGACGACATCACAAGCATCACCATATCCGTTCTGGTCCGTATCAGTCTGTGCTGTGTTAGACACAGCAGGGCAGTTATCACATGCGTCACCCACACCATCTCCGGTTGGTGTCTCTGAGTCCTCCTGACTTGTGTTGGGAACAAGTGGACAGTTATCGGCAGCATTAAGCACTCCTTTAGGTAAAGAGATACCAAAAAATCTTTCGTTTGTGTACAAACAGGCTTCGAATTCGCAAGTTAGAAGTACACCGGATCATCAACAAAACCATTCACTTGAGCAAGATGCATTGATGTTCCAAAGCACAATGGATGCCAAGTTAATGCATACCATCATTGTCAGTGTCTGGGTCACATGCATCACCAAGCCCATCACTATCCGTGTCAGCCTGGTCTGGGTTGTTATCGCTGAGGCAATTATCACACGCATCACCAATGCCGTCACCCTCTGTGTCTTCTTGGAAATAATTAGCTGTGTACTGGCAGTTATCCTGTTGAGAGACACAATGTGATAAGTTCACTGTAAAAGCCTGAAGAATCTCTCTTTCTGAAGATGATTACATGGCTGACTGGTTCTTCTGAAAAAAAATGATCAATATCTTCTCTGGTTTTACAGCCAACCTTCTATGGTTTACCTCTACGCCATACTGTTGCACAAGTTACTAATGAGTAACAACTATCTACTAACAACCAACCATCTGTTTGGTAAATTCTCACAACTGACTGGAGGCTTGTCTGCAGTGAATGCTTCTCCAGCAAACTAGTGACCGTTTTTGTGAATTTTTGATGAGTTCAATACTGACCTTGGCATCAAAGATACTATCATTATCGTCGTCATCGTCACAGATATCGCCAATATGATCATCATCTGCATCTTCCTGCCCACTGTTGGGATGTTGGGGACAGTTGTCCTTCAAGACAAAATCAACATATTTTAGAGTCTCACCTCTAGGCCAAGTACAGTACTGGTAAGTACATAAAAGCAAACTACTCAATTAGGTTTATGGTCTCAGATGTGAAATCAAATTGTGTGAAATAGGCATGCTGTGATTTTGAACTCAGAGTGTACTGACATGTCGTTTATCTAAACAGTACTTATTCGAAGGAGTCACATACCTGTCTCTCAAACCCACATTCTCTTCTGAATTTACCTCATGCTTATACAGTGTCATGTCTGACATTAAGGCCTCTTCTCAATGGGTATTTGTGAGCTGTGGCTTTAGTTCTTGCTATTGCATCACCATGGTGAGTAGCCATAGTTGAAGGCAACAAGGGCCACTTCAAGACATGACTATGGTTGGGTAGGCCACTCTGAGTCCAGAACAATTCCAGGGTATATGAACTGGTGACTAATGATGGACAGAGCTAAGGTAAGACTGGATATAAACTTTTCATTTTTAAAATTTCAGTGGGACTCATAAAAATTATTCCACTCACTGCTTTACATGCCAGATCGCTGCAGAGAAGTGTCATCTCTGGCCGACCATCGAGATCGGTGTCAATGCCGCAATAGACTCCATTGCCCGCCCAGCCGTTGTTGCACTTTCAAAAACAAACAACTGATGTTAAAGTCACCGGCAGAGAAGAAAGAGCCACATGACTTCAAAGTTTTTCATCTGACCCAGCTAGCATACAAAAAGTACTCTGCATCAGAATATACGTAGAATGATAAATTGGTAATTTAGCGATCTAGAGGTATTATCAGGCTTCAGTTGTTGGCTAATCCTTGCCTTCAACATGTATCTCCAGGTACCTTGGTTTGAATCCCACCTAGTGCATCATTTTGTCAACTTTAATCTTGTTTATTTCTGTGTAGCATAAGTATAACATTTCTCCTATGAACAATCCATACTCCTGGATATTTTTTTGGGGGGGCATATAGAAACTGGAAAAAAAGGAATCAAGACCACAAAGATCTGGTTTGAATGGTGTGTTGAGATAAGATGGACTGGACTGAAGAGATGGCAAATCAACCATGTTAGTCTCTGGGAACTTACCTCGCAGACATAAGTACCAGCTCCTGTGGAGATGCATGTAGCATTCTCATGGCAGTTGTTTTTGCCCGTGAGGCAATAGTCGCCAGGGAGGCAACCAGTCTTACCGTCTCCTAGGTAACCAGGTAGGCAGAAACCACAATGGTAACTTCCCTGTAAAAACAATATTAGTTGAGAAAGACCAAGCTTCATAAAACGGCAGAAAAAAAGCTGCTGCTAAACTGACACAGAAAAATCACACTAGACCCAGGGAGTGGCTCCCATTCATGGACCTGAGGCAAAGAATGTTTACTAATCAATTATGACAAAAATTGTGATACACAAAAGGTATTTCCAGAAAGCTGGCACAGGGATAACGAGGAGGGTTGTTATATAGCCAGAGGTAATGAAGCTATCCTAAAGCACAGAGAGTTTGGATATCAGATAAATTATACATTCTGTTATTAATTTCAAACTGCAAAAGTCAGTCATTAGAAAATCCTAAAATGGAAAAGGAAAACAGATTTGCTTCTCCACGCATGGATCACTGTTTTTATTCCTTTAAATTATTATCGATGTTTACTGTACCTCAGTGTTCACACACTCAGAATTGGGATCACATCCGCCATTGTCGATGGCACATTCGTCAATATCTTTACACACCTGACAAAAACACAACAAACCACACCCTGCATTAGCTGCAGACTTTAGGACAAAGATGACCAAGAGTGGTTATTGTTCACCTGGAAAAACAGGTTTAGAAAGGCCAAGTAGATGTTGACGTGAAAAAATTCACAGCATTCGGGCAGATGCAAACAAGAGGGACTTCCCAAGTATGTGTTTATTATGTTACTACTTAATGTTATCCTTTGAGGTTGTTAAAGTGCAATTCCGCAACAAGAATTACAAGCCATTAGGGCGGTAGTGCAAGGCTCGTGGACAGGTGGTACACACGCATCACATGCCTCCTTGACAAATCGGGTGGTGGGAATTGCCAAAAGCACACGCGCGTCAAGCTTAAGAACGCGCATGGCAGTTATGGCATCTCCTTGAAGTAGAAGAAAACTTAGAAAATTAAGACCCTCCCTGGCACCCTTTTTACCACCAACCATTACCTGGGGGTTAGCCAATGCATGATCCACTCCTATACCATGAGGTGTATTGCCGGCATAGCCAGGTTTACATGCACTGCATTCATAGCCTGGTGACAAGTTGATGCAGGTGAAGTTGCAAGGGTCTGCGATGGCACACTGAAGTACAAGCATAACAGAGAACATTTTAAAGATTTATCATTTCTTAATCAGTTACAACAACCTTAAGCATCTTTCGTTTCAAACTCCTTAAAATTATTCAATTCTTTTTGGAATTACATAGTGACTATCCCTATCCCACAAACTTTCTGATCCTTGGTACCGGTACCTTACCTCATTAATATCTGCACATCCATCTCCAACCTGAGAGAAGCCAGCCGGACACCCACCACAGATATATTTCCCTGCTCCCTGATTGATGCATAGTACATCTTCAGCACAAGGGCTAAACTCTGTCATACAGGGACCTGTTAAACAAAAGGAGGAGCAGTAACGTCAAGTAGTCCAATGAACAACCCTGCATGAAAAGAGAGGGAGGTTTTTCCTTTGAGGCAGCACACCTGACAAACATGCAAACATCGGGTATGGAGAACAACACTCCAGCAATTTTGCACATCTGTAGTGTCTTCATACAGGCACCAAGCACACAGGAACAGAGTTAAGTGTCACCTCGGTTTCTCTGTAAATTTCTAGGGCACTAGGCTGGAAGCTGATAGGGCCTTTTAAAAAGTGTGTATCCAATAGATTTAGGTCTTGCATCTTTCCACTGCAAGCTGTGGCCCTTATATTGCTCAGTGGCTTAAATGTGATCAGTTATTTTGTTTTAGTGTGGGGAGAAAAAGTAAACTTCTTTTCGTATATCACTCAGTGTGGCATCCTGATGAAAGTGGACACTACGTAGGTGAGAAATGTTGAAGGGTTGTATATCTTTTCACAGCCCTTAACTCAAGAGTGGCCCTGGCAATCTTCAACTCAATTTGTTAGACTGGGTCACAAACGGTCTCGTCTAGTTACCGGAGTCATGAGTTTTAGGATACGTTTGCGTGGTTACTCCTGTTAACACGAGTAGGATGCGTGCACATTACACTTGGATGCAGGAGTACACCCCCCCAGCGAGAGTATACTCTCGCTGACCCGCAGAACGTACTTCAGCTGTTTGAGCGCTTAGGAGTATACCCATGCTAACACGAGTAGCTCGCTCGAACGCACCCTTAATGTGCAATTATTAATGGCTACTTACATTCAGCCTGACTGGAGCATGACTTGCAAGGCCTCCCGTCTCCAGCCGACCATGCTGTGATGTGGCATGGTGCGCAGGAACTCTTACCCTGTGTGCTCTGGTATCCTGCAGGGCACTTCTCACAGATCGACTGCCCAGTTAAGTTATTGAATGTGCCCGGCTGGCAGGGCTGGCAGAACTCTGCAGCAGTTGAAGTAAAATTAGGTAGAATATGAACCCCACTGAATGAATGGAACCTGAGCATCTTAGAAGTGGGCCATTCCATTTGTAACGGTGTCCATCGTTATGTGGGTTCCGTTACAATGAGCAGCTATTTCCCAGCAAGTGGATTTCTAATTATACATCTTGCGAGGCTAAATACAGAGGTGTGTGTCATTTTTACAGAGTAAATAACCTACTCTAAAGGTTATGACGAGTAGTAAAAGTTACCGATGTATATAAACAAGGACACCGTCACAAATTGTCCCCAAATCTCATGGAATGATCCAAACTATGAATGCACATATCTGTGAAAAGAGTCAGTTTTGCATATCTTGAAATTTAAGCACAAACTGATTCCAGGAATTATTTTTATACTGGCTGGTGACATATTTTGCTTCAGGGAAGGTAATTAACAGACTTAAAGAAGTTAAGATCTCGTCTGAGGTGCTATGATTATAAAATTTCAAAATGCTACATTTCTTGCCGGGAATCATTACCTACGAGGACAAGTTTCTTAAAACAATAATCAAGGATTGTTATCCCAACATATGCAAGCACTTGCATTGCAATCTTTTGGCATCACAATTCTGTGTTTGTGTACTGTTTCCTGAGATTGGGCATAGATTTCTACCAACCAAACGTGATCTCTGATCTCTGCAACTGACCTGAATCAAATCCTTGTGAGAAGTAGCCTTGGGGGCAGATGGACTGTATCCCCCTAAAGCAAGCTGTGCCTGGGTCACACAGAGCACAGGCCTCTGGGCAGTGCTGGGAAAAAAAGAGGTAATTTTCATGTTCAAGGGTCTGTTCTATACATGAAGGGTTGGTACTATAGACAAAACCAGCAAACTAAATCAGAAATCATAACTTGTGAGGCCTTGCTCCTGTTTCAAGTACTGAAGTCCATCACATGTCTGCCACACGTCTAGTCACAATCGCACATCTTTTCACAGGACCAATCACAAGAAACAGGGACTACACAATGAGAGTCCAAATTCATCTAAATAGCTGTGATGACTCAACTAGAACACTGGTGAAGGTAGCCAAAATGCAGACACCTAAAACTTAGCAACACTTGCACACTGTGACAAATGTTCATGAGAGAACTGAAAAATATCTACCTTCAAATTTTGGTTTACCAATTAAAATAATGAATATGCTTCCTTTGAGATAGCATTCAGTGGGTAGATGTCAAGCAACTTGATGTTCATCACAATCACTGATAACAATTTAATAAGCTTGAACTTTTCCCATTCTGACTAGTGTCGGCCAGCCAACTCCGGCAAGCTTGGTGGTCAAGCAGTTAAGACATCTGCACTAGTTAGCAGGAGGTCGGGGGTTTGAGCCCCATCGGAGTAAGCTTGTGAATTTTATCACAAGCTCTCAGACACACACTGAGAATACAGTGGTGACTAATATAAATCGGTGTAAGGGCAAAAATCCTGTAGTTATCTGGATAGATTGAATGGTTTACCACCAATATTTCCCGAGACTGCCTTCTGTCTTTATCATTCTAACACTACAATTTTTTCTTTTCTCCAAGGAAACCATCAGATGTCAGTGACTACAAAACCAAGTGCTAAACTGGATTTGAAACAACAAGGTAATCCCTACAAGTTTGGTGCTAGAGGCGACACATCTTCCACTAGTGTGAAGGAGGTCAAGTGTTTTATATCACCCAGGTAAGTTCATTAATTGTTTTCTTCCACAGATGAAATTGAAAAGAGAGAGTGCTAGGGGAACTAAAGCATATGTAGGACAAAACCCAGAAAAAGCATTCAGATCTTCTGCACTCACTGTTTCATTGCAGCGGCCATGATGATACTTTGGGCATGGTGTAGCATAACCATCTTTGCACAACTGCAAAATGCAAACAGTGAAATGAGATTATTATCACCATTAAGGCACATAACAAATGGTCAGCAGCAATCGGTAATTTTGGCACAAGAATTATTCCTTTGAAAAGGTCTAGCCCCAAAGGAAAACCAACAATTTGACAGTATATCTTTTTTTCCGTTCTACCTGGCTTTAGAAAATTCTAGATAACACACAGGTCATGCTTCATATTTCTCATAGAAAATACATGTAGTCAACACCAACCTGTCTTTTATTCATTTCCACAGACACTTTTTGCATCTCACTGTCAATAGTTGAAGCTTCTGGTCAGCAAACTAACTATCTGAAACTCTTCAAAAACCTATCCAACTCCTGATCCTTATACTTACCCATCCAATAGGGCAAGGTACACATTCTAAGGCATGGCCAAAGGAATGCTCTGTTGGTGACCGGTCGCACGAGTCCAACGGAGGATCACAGCGACCACAGGGGCGCTGTAAACCGTCCCCTATGCAGTAGTTGGTGGTTAGACAGCGCTCACACTGGGTCAAGTCTGTCAAGAATAAGGATGTTGAAAGTAGCTGATCCAGGGTCATTAAACTACAAGAACACAAAGCCACAGAGGTGACCATGGCCCTGCCCGCTCCACTAATTTCCTATATTTTAAGTAACCTGGACTGCCCTGCCCTTGGATGCAGAGGGAGTTGGTGATGAACCAATCTTCACCCTAAAGCAACCTCCAGAGGCAATCCGGTTCGTATGTGTGACATCACTTCAGTTCAAACCATGCCCACTGCACATGGAGCTACATTGAACCATGGAACTGGAAGAAAACAAGCAACTTGATAGCTCAACCAGGAGGCTTGCAATAAGTGTTGCAATCATGTGTATGACGAAGTCACTTAGGACCGGATATAGAAATAAGATAACATGTAGCTGAAAGCTATCGCTTTTCCTCATGGGCTTCAGAGCATTATGATAATGTGCTGGAAGAGCTTACAAGATGTGATTACAGTACAGAGGAGTTATTTGGCCAGCTACAGACAATTCTGAGTCAAATACTTTTATCAAAAGGAGGTATAGCAAACAGGAAGATTTACTTTAAAAGTAGAGGCAAATGCATCAATGTGACTTACGTCGTAGCCGTCTCTCTGTGGTACAACCAACAATTTCTAGCCTCAGCCCTATCTTGCTGTGCCATGATTGGGGCAGAATGCGGATATACTGAGCATAGACTTCATTAAAGTACACACTGGAGACAGCATCCTGGTCTATGTTACCAGTGAAGAGCTACAAGGAGTACAAAAGAAAATGCACTGACATTATAAGCAGACAGTCAGTGGTTTGTGGCTGCAACTGCCATGCTGATATTTTCTAAGAGGATTCCAACCTGTCATAGTGCTTTTGTTCTTAGGCAAGACTATTTGCAGTAATTGCTTCTGTCCAAGGATGAAAGGAGTTTTCACCCGATCAAGGGTTAATCAAATGGCGTTACATGAGCATTGGTCCAATTATTCTCCTTTACCAAATACACGCACACGCTGCAATACTATAAAGTATCTCTGAACCAAGTAGTAAGACCACTGGAGTGTGCTAAATAGTCACTCACCAGAAGTATTGTATCTGATCATTGTCATCTTTACACTTTATCCTTTACAGTGTGCTATTATCATAGGAGTATTCTTCATACTATCAGTAGCATTATATCTGATCACTGCCATCTTTAGCCTGCTTCCATACTACAAAATATCTCTAGATACTATTTTCACCTTAGAAGTAGTGTGGTTACTTCCATCTTTATCACGTACCATGTACTACTATCATTGGAGTATGGTACATTGTCTCAGTAGCATTATATCTGATCACTGCCATCTTTATCCTGCTTCCACACTACAAAGTATCTCTGTTCAAAGTCGTATTATCAGTGGAGTGTGCTGTATGTACTTCAGCAGAAGTACGGTACCTGGTCATTGCCATCTTTATCCTGTATCCTATACCATGTGCTGGTATCATTGGAGTATGCCACATAGTAAGTCTCAATCCAGACTTCTGCATCCCCAACACCCTGAGTCCTGACACCAGAGAAGATAGTAACCAGATCCATGTCGACCTGCAGCCACTGGTTCGTGTCAGTGGTTTCTGCTATCCAGCCTGCGAAATGGAATCACAACTATGATGTGGGTTATACTTTTAGATTAGCCATACGGATTTAACAAGCTAGTTACCATCAGCAGCGGCAGGGGGACCAATGCATAATACTCAAGAAGTTTTCTCTTCAAGTGTTTTTCTTTCCATAAGCTCTTTACAAACAGTGTGTGTGTGATAAACTGTACCTTACACATTGCCATGCTAATAAACATACGAAAGGTCTCAAAGTCGGTGCATATTTGGAATTTCTTCTTTCTCAACACAGTTTCCCCAGGACTTCTTCTTGTCAAGAGCCTACAAGTTGAGTTGAGGTTGCCATACCACCAAATCTTTACTCGACGCATAAAGGTTCTTGCCACCTTAGATATCACAAGTCGTACATTTACATGTACTCATTCATGAACTTGTTGCAGTAATGTCGTCATACTTAATATTTGATGGATGTTGTAGTTCTCGGTTGGAGGGCCAGGATGGCATACTGATTATTTCCTTGCTTTTCCCCCCTGCAGTCAAGGTTCGAACCCCAGTCATACAGGTTGTCCTGTTCAATCGGTTTTCAGTCCCTACCTGACTCCTTTGCTTTCACCTGGAATGTTCTTCCATGATTTCCCTCCCATCTAGAACTCCAATTTTTGTCTCAATTCTTCAGTTTCTTCAGATTTACCGGCTACAGTGCCTGAGGCACTTTTGAGGAATCACTGGTCGCATTACCTGAGATAATCCAATTACATGAAACCCACCTGACCCAAATTCACCATCTGTGCTGGCATTAGCATGGAGCCTTGCTCTGTTTGGTGTGTGCGCACTGTCATAAAATGATGACGCTGATACCATTCTGTCTTGAATAACGCCTGTCTGCATTCCGAGGGCATCTCTACAATCTTTGAAGGAAGAAACAATATGACAACTTAAAAATCTGTTGAACAGTCCACTCCTACATGAATCTCTGCAGGTCAATTACCACAGCTTCAACGTACCATAAACAAAGACGTAGTATTTGGGCACCCTAAGGTACAGGCCACCTGTCAGGACATCAATGTAGACTTTGACTTCAACTGGCTCACTGATAGCATCATAGAGACAGGTGTTGCTGATGGTCACGGTGACGTTGACGACTGTGCCGCGAGCTGGAGTGCCATCATCAATGGCTACGATTGTCAGCTGAAGTACTGAGAAGGTGTCGTTGATGATTGGTCTGTAGTGAAGGAAAATAGGGAGTTTAAAGGATTGAACCTTGCTATTCTTGCCAAAATGAAGATGCGGGATGAAATTGATCTTTTACTCAAATCAACAATGATCTGCATGATTCAAAGCAGCCTATTGTCTCTGAGAAATACAGAATAAGACTAAATGATGGACGTGGAATATATTGTACTCATACAGTACTCGAAGTCAAACAATTGTTTACAGGAGCTCAGGTGCATTGGATATACAGCACACAACACAGCAAGGTGAAACTACTAAGGATGTTTAACAGCAATGCATTCCATTGTGGCTTGAATCTCTTTCATCAGTGCCTCTGAGGTTAAACGAACTCACACAAAGTCCACAATAGCCATGTTCAATTTTTCCTCGGCTAATCAAAACAGGAGCCTATAAAAGCGAGCTCCATATTCACATTGGGTTCCTACATTTGTGGATCAAATCCAATCAACTCACATCTCTGTGACTGCTGAGGTGTGATAGGTGATCTGACTGTTGGCCCCGCTGTCCGCATCAGTCACTAGCACCTCGGCCAGGGGTTCCTGCTGCAGAACGGGCAATGGGAAGAAGACAAGGCTGTTCTTGGACACCACAGGGCAGTTGTCGTTCACATCAGTCACAGTAATCTGGGAAAAGAAAAGGTGAGCTTAAGCTACAGGTGAGATGCATCTGAACCCCAGGCCTTTACTGTCATGTGGTCTGTATATATATCAGACCATCAAATAGCACTGCTCTTTACTGTATACAAAGTGAATACGTCATGCATGCATTTATGCGTGTAAAAGGCATTGGTGTGATAACCAGCACGTAAACCAGCACAAACACATACTCTATTCCTCTGCACAGCACTTCCTGGTTCAAAATGACGTCACACATCAGTATTCTATATTGCAGGCTGGACTGATCACTTCTTTCATAATAAAGCATGCCATCCATTGACCCATGCTGCAAATCCATTGGACTGAAAGAGTTATTGGATGTTTGAGCAATACTCAGCGTTAACTTACCTCAACGGTCAGCATGCCTTCATGCGGTGGGCTGGCATTGAGATCAACTACACTGATCTTCAGGAAGTACCATGAAGCAACTTCATAATCAAGCTCAGTTGCAAGTGTTATCAAGGCCTTGTCCGTATTGACATTAAATGTTTGCTCTGCAGTTTCATTTCGCTCCGGCACTGAACAGCACAAAAGCAAAGATAATAATAAAAATGGGCACTACACATATTATCATTATCCCTGCATACTGGGCTAAAAAATTCTGAACATTTCTGAGACCATCTCAGCTCCCTGGGGAGTACACAACCCCAATGCTGCCATATTTGGCACAAACGAGTACAAAACATAACCATATCTGCTATAACATCTCCCTATTTACTCCTGGGGTAAAGTGACTCGCCCAAGATTACAACATGCCAACACCAGCTGGATTCGAACCCCTGACCCTATGATCAGATTGACAAAGACAGGTTTCAAACTTGGACCTCAGGCAGCACTGGAAAACGGAAACAAGTAATAAGCCTGATGGACTCTCTGCAAACTATGTTATCTGTCAGCAAAAGTGCAAATGTTGGAGACTGCAAGAACCCTCTGTGTCCTGGACCATGCTTCAGTGAATACCCCTCAATCGGATTCCATACGCTTGTACCCTTCAGTTGAAAACTACACACAGCAGACTACTTGCAACCAGTTTTCAACTGAATGTACAAACCTTTATCAAATGCACATGAGCAAACTAAAAAGAAGACACATCTTTAATACTCCTGAACGCCTCATGTTGTTACCTTTCTCTGATTCGGAGTCACAAGTGATGAAGTCTGTACCATTCACCGTATCACTAAATGATGGTGGACCAGCAGTAGGGGCCTCACCATCTGCTACATTTTCTTTGGTGTTGTTTTTGAGGGTGAAGTGTCTTGCTTCATTGCCTGTTAAACAGATAAAATATACACATTACTCTATACTGTATCTTGGTATCACAGATTGCGAAAGTTGACCAGTGGACATCTTGGTAATACTTTTAACGTGGTGATTAGATGGAGATACAAAAAACAAGTCTAGGTGTAACACTCATCATACCTTTAAGCAATCTTAATAACCAGAATGGTATCGTCATAAAAGCTTCAGCCATGAGATTCACTGGCTTTCTCCCTCAGCACTTCAGCAACCAACAAAAATGTGTAGGGTGGCTCATAAAAATGTGTCAGGAATATTTGTCACGCATACCACTTGTGATGGTGACTTGAAAGTTTGGTCCGGCAGAGAAGGCATCTGCCACCCAGACTGATTCCAGGATGGCACTGAGGTGTAGGTCCTCATCCACAGTGACAGCATAGTCAACTGGAGGGTTATCTGGGTTCAGAGGAAGGAACTTGATACCTTGAACCTCCAGGAAGAACTCAGAGGAGCAAGGATTCCGCTCGGTGTGGAAGAGGTCAAAGTGGTAAGACTCACCAACCTGCGAGATAGTAATAGCAACAAGAATCAACGACCTGCGAGATAGTAATAGCAAAAATACTTAAGGACATGGGAGATAATAGTAGCAAAAAGTTGTAGTCAAGGTACCACAAGTCATGGCATAAGTTGCATTAAATCTTATTTGTCCAGTTTTAATTCAGGTTTCAGGCTACTAAAATGAGATGGGACAAATGCAAATCCCTGTGAATCATTGGGCATCTTAAAAAAAATTATTTCTTCTTACCTCCATTTCAAGAAGTACTTGTTCTTCAGGAATGGAATTGGTGATGACGCATTCTCCGTCAACAACTGTTCCCTCCTCTGGAGTTAAATAGTTCCCACCTGAGAAATATGATTAAGTACTTCAGCTTCGTCTCTTCCAGTGGTCAAATTTTACATAAGTCAAGCTGAAATTCTTGGTTCTACCACATTAGCATTTTCTGCTAGGATTCTGTGTCGAAATGCCAACATCACGTCACTAACTCTGTTTTTGTCACATAGGCAAGTCTGGGTTTCAAATTTGTTTCGTGCAAGTTTCAACGAATCCCATGAAAATGCTTCACATTTTCACAAATGGTGTACATAAACATGCATTCCGAATTGAACAAGAGACAGCCCATACCTTGATCAGCTGCTAATGCCAGTGCAATGCTCTTACACCTGACAGGATTGCCTGAAGAGTCACCGTGGACTTCCAATACGAGGACCTTGTTGACGTACACCCAGATTTCATCCCCGCCACCAACCGTTATGACCTCAGTCTCATTGAACATGATCCCAGTTCTTATGGCACTCGTGAAACTTTCAAGAGTCAAAAAACAAGCCAAAGGTACTTAATTTGTCTTCATTTGTTTCTCAGGACTGTTATGTCGAGGGGATATAAATTGAGTTATATATCCTTTAGAATGTCGGCACCACCTTAAGCTACAGCCAACAGTACAGACTGCTTTGTGTTAATAACAGACTTAAGAACACAGCTGTTTGGTTGAAAAGGCAAAACTTCCCCTTGTATAATCATAAAAACCCTTTGACAGAAGTGATGGAATTATGTATCCCTAGATTCTGTACTTCTCTTTCGCTTTCACATTAACTGGTCACGAGGTCTACACCTGTCTTACCCAAAGTTGTGGAGAATGAAGCTGCAGTCCCTTTGTCCCTCAGCAGCAAAGCCAAGACCATCCACTGGGTAGAAAGCCTCTGACCAATACCTGAAACAAAACACGGACCTATAGACTAATCCAAAAAGCACATCAGTATTTTACCTTTTTGTCTCATACCATCCTTAACAGCCATGCCTACCCTCTCTGTAATGTGCTTCATTGCCCATGCACTGGAAAAGTTCTATTAATACATCAGGGAGGGAAGCAAATAACCAAATTGCAATACTTTGTAAACACAAGTAAAAAGTACAGACTCATGGAAACAAACCCTCAAGACAGCCAGATACATGCATTGCAGAATACTGTCCACAGCAAATAAACAGTAACAAACACAAGCTCTTAAGCAGCCCCACCTGTTGACGGGGTCGACAACACCTGATGAGTTGAGCCACTTCAACACCAGCTCCGTATCAATGGCGTAGTTCACGCCTGGGTTGTTACGAAACCAGCCGGAGAAGGCGTCACCAGTGGGGTTGTCTGATATGGCCAGCCAGGCCCCATAGGGTGAGACCACATATGTTGGTTGGCTGATGACATCTTTTCCAACTGGGGTGAAGTCCGAATTTCCAGAGCTGAGCAGCACAAAGGAAAAAAACAAATGGTTTCGTTCATTTTAAGTAAACGTGTTTTATAGAAATCCTATGAAAGTGGGGTCACATACTAAAAAGTAAAAACAATTCCAACGGAAATAGACTTCATGTTCCACAGAAAAAAAGGATGAATTAACTTTGTATCACAACATTCACATTAGGTGGCAACATGTAGCTTTTTCAGTACTGTCACATGGAGTGAGTGTCATCATTACACATCCTTTCTTGAGCATTAGACGCTTAGGATTGTTTCTCTGTTGCTGCAGTCTTCATGCTAAATGAAGTTCATGTACTCTGCCTAAAGAATTTACATGATGTGTAAAAATCTACCAGATTAACAACACGGAAGACAGGCATATTGCAGTATTTTGAACAAACCTGAAGTCATAGTAGACAATAGCCAGCTTGATGTCTTGAGCTGTTGCCTCAGTAAAATTTGTTTCAGCTGAAGGTGAGAGAAAATTATGCATCATACAAATAAACCTCTTAACGTGCCAAAACCTCATTCAGCAATAACCTCAAAATTAGCAAGAAACTGCTTATGAGCACAGTGCATTTACAATTTCTTCAAATGTCCGAAGTTCTGCAAATGCTGAACGGACTCACATCTAAATACCTGCTCTCTGTACAAGTACCCAGTCACAGTGGTAACACGTGGAGATGCTATAGCTACCAGGCAAAAGTCAATATGCATTTGTCACCATGCAGTATTGTACCCAATGCCAAAGCAAGTACACTAATGGCTTACAATGTGTGCTCCGGGTCGGACAACATCCAACAAGCACAAGGGCTTGGTATGTCACCCTATCATTGCTTGGTACAATTTTATCCTGTAAAGTCTACAAATCTCTAGTGGCGATCTATAGTCCATTTGTGTGCATACAGGGTGCTCTATTTCTGCATGATGCCAATGATATTTGAGTGTAGCATTTGATAGTAGCCTTTCTTTCTGCCACCATTATTAAAGGTTGCTAAAACCATTCATTGTGTCAACAGATCAAAGTGGAGCAAAGTGACTGCATCAGGCCTCGAATTTCCCTACGGCCACGACGGCCATGGCCGTTGGTGCCCTCCAATTTGGCCATGGTGCCTCCGAAAAGTGAGCGTGTTTCACCGCCAAGGTGGTAATGCACTTTTTTTCTCTTGGCTGTAGTGCCGTACACGTGCATATCGACTGCCCCTGTTTAGCGAGGTACAGGGAAAGTGGCATGGAAAGCGACATATCGCTCCATGATCATTCACATTCCACGGGAACACCGCGCCGCGCCTCACAAATGCATGGCATGCATGCATATACAGGGCGTGCGTACACTGTGTGTATGTGGGGATGTCATACACTCAACCCGCTGCGTACCGGCGGCCCGGCCTGCTCCATGCACACTGCATGCACCATCGCAGCACATGCCCAAGCCAAGCATTTTAATGCACCATGCAAAAAGTGCTCATCAATGTGTATGCATTAACGGTGTATCAAGATCTCCACATTTTTCATGCGCACAGGATAATCTTATAGTCGTGGCAGTATTTTAACTAACACCGCAATGTAGTGTTTGCAGTTTAGTGCCTCGGCCTAGAAGCGTTATGATTGAATTACAGTCCGCCTAGAGCAGGACCACGCCCTCATCACTTGAACAAAGCGATGTTGGTCGGGAGTGTTCATTTTGCTGGTAGCGACGCGACCGTACCACGTGCAGTTCATAATCATTTCTGAACCGGGGAAGTGCAATTCTGAACAGAGGAACCTCAGTTGGTTGGAAAATTGAGCCTTCTATCTCTTGGTCCAGCTCGGGGCTCGTAGAGAACATCGACAAAAGGTGAGTCTGACAATTATTAAAACACTGTTGAATATACACACCGACATTCTCTAGTGTGGTGACTGGGACATATTCATCAGGTGCACCCGTGTAGTTTCCCACAGTCAGGGTCACATGACAGATATAATCCGTGCCAACCTGCACCCCATCACCAGCAGTGAAGAGATGGCTGACGGAGGTAGTGTTGTAATACAGCAGAGGTGCCGCGTTACTGGTACAGGTCACACCATACATCCTGCATTGACATGTACACAGGGCTTGAGACATTGGCAAAGGTCCCTTGTAAAAAGTGGCCAGCTGCTAGAAAAATCAGTAATCTCAAATCAGACTTAAAGGTGCAGTCCATTACTTGTCATTTGTGCACTGTGTTCCTTTGAGGCAACAAAGTACTCCAAATGTAAAGAAGGGTGCTAAAATACGCCTGGTGAAGATTCAGCCCAGTGAGTACTGTACATCCTGAGAAAAGCAATATACTACGATTTGGATTTCAGTTCAAAAGTTGCTGAGTCATGTTTTACATTGCACCTGGAAACAGTGTCTGATAGATACATATTCTCACCTTCAGCTGAATGCAGCTACATGTCCGTAATGTCATGCACTGAACCAACAAATTATAGTAACCATGCACAAGTGTTGTGTCAACATTTGGACATGCTTTCCAAAAATGCATCTGGACATGCTTCCTTGGATGTGGCCTTCTTTCATTATTTTCTCCCAAACCAAGAATGCTTTTCAACCATAATTTCATCAATTATTTTGGCTTAAACTACAAATTATGGACTGTACCTTCAACTTCCAGCACTGGAATGGAATCGGAACTGTCCAGCCTGCAGTTTCTACATGAGAGGTGATCTCAATTTTGTAAAAAGAAAGTTTCCCTGGTGTTTGTCAAAGTAACGCTTTTTTAATGGAAAGTGCCAGAGTTGCAATTAAAACCCTGTAAACCATCACAAGACCTCCTGTCTTAATTCAAGTCACAAACTTCATCCTACGTTTGTGTTCAGTCTTGTCTTTGGTCTTGGTCAGGTCTCATGAAGACCTAAACTGCAACACTGATCCCAGATTGTCAAAGTCAAAATTTCAGTGCAGAAACTTGCAGCAGGAGGGCCTTTCATATTCAATGGCCACACCACTTTATGGCAAGACTTTGTACAACAGTTGCAAGCTTGGGATGCATCAGTAAGGATGTTTCAGATTAGAACATACCATTCTTCATCCGTGGAGTCATCTGTTGAATTTGTGGCATTTATGCTGGGAAACACTTCAAACGGTTCCGTCCAGCTGACGAAGATCTGCCAAAGGTGTGGGGGAGTTGCCGTCACATTATATGGTGCTGTTTGGATGAAAATACATTACCACAGGCTTGACCCCCAATATTTCTAATGTGGATGAAATCTCCTAGTGTTAATGGTCTCCCAGTTGTAAGTGTATTTTATTAAAGGGGAGCTTGTTGGAGACCAAATGCTAATAGTCACACTTTGGCAGTCACATTAGCAATGCTGCAAACCTTTATGAAACAGTTTGGAATTTCAAACAGGCATGATCATTCAAGAACAAAGCATGCAAGTGGACGTATAGATGTGCCAACAGGGCAGACCTTGCCCTTGCACATTGGTGCTCCCCGATGACCTTGTACCTTGGATATGCCAATCCGCCCTGAGTTGAAGTGCACCCTCGCCAGCAAAAGAAAAGCTGGTGAGAAGTTTTCCAACCCGGTTCCCGTACTTATTCTCACATGGGCATACTCTGTATGCCCCCGCCACATGCGCACGGATAAACTTGCACACCTGCGCGCAAGTTTGTACCAAAGGACCGTCATTTTTATTGAAAAAAAGGCCCTCTTTTGTTCCTGCTCGGAGTGGATAGGGTAACCTTACACTTGCCTATTGCTGCTCCTGTATGACCTTAGACGTGCTTTGTATAGCGCATGCGCTACTTGAATACCGAACTAAATTATTGAAAACAACAGTCAGGGTTACTCAGAGAGGTTAAATTTTGTTACAAATCAATGCAGAAAGGATGCAGGTTTCGGTTACAAATCATCAAATAGGCTCGGGTTGCTCTGAAATATCCGGTTGACCAAGGCTGCAAGGTTATGAAATGAAGTGAAGAGAAATTTCTCAGTCTTTCCAGAATACACACAGTCCAGCTATAGTAGGGGACTGGACTCACCACACTGGAACAGCCGACGGGGTACATTGGTGAAGTACATATCGGACGACTGACTGAAGTATGAGAACAACACTCCAGCTGCCTCCTCTGGTGTCGCACATTTGCCACCAGTGACAGCAGTGCGGTCATAATCCAGCGAGTAATACAGGTTACAGGTGCAGCCCAGAGGGTTGCTGGCAAGATTTCTGTGAAGAGTTGCAAGTTCGCACGGTTGGAAAGGGTTCACACTTTCACTGGTCAATGCCCAATAAGAACCAAGTCAACTGCAATTCAGAAACCAGGTGCTCAGTTTCAAAGTGGCAAGCATTCACTGAGGATTACCACAAGCACTGATTTATCTGGTTTGTTGAATGTTTATACACGTTCCTAAAATAGAAAGTGTTCATGGTAGATTGATTACAGAAGGCTATATATATATATATTTACTAATTTTTTTTTAATTGTAAATTGGAGTCTCTAAATTTGCTTCATTGAGTGTGCAGCTCTTTTTCTTTAAAATTTAGTATTAGACTGATGCCAGCCATCTTTATATATTTTTTTACCACTCAGTAACAAGTCCGTTTTGCTACACTGTATGCAGTCCAACTACGCTGTCTGCTGACAGAGATGAGAAACAATGAAGAGTTGTGAGAATGACTGCACAGTTTATATTTATGTACATGTACGCCCGACAATCGTTTCAACTTTTGTTTACGAAAACTTACAGCCATATAAGGACATCGGCGTTGAGGTCATCAAAGGCATTCTGCCCAACTGTCTTTATGTTGTTGTTGGACAGATCACTGTAATTGATCAACAAGGCACAATGTAAGATTAGTAAGCCCTGAATTCTTGATAATGGTTTTTGCCTTTACGTAATGTAATTTTCTAAGCTATTATATAGAGCCTGTTCTATCCAAAAGCGTGTGGGAGAAAAGTAAAATGTTCCAACATGTTGGGACTTTATTGCAATTTGCTTGCTATTGAAGATTATAGACAAAATAACTCAACGCAAGTTGGGTCTTGGTGGGGTAGCCAAATGATACCTGTATAGCTTTTTCAGCCAACGAGCTTAAATAACATTGGGAATTTTGGGGGTCTCTCTGTAATTGTAAACACTGCACTAAAGCATTCATAAATATATGACTCACAGTTGCTGAAGCATTGGAAGGCTGGGCATTATGGGCCAGTGACTCAACTCATTGCCTGACAGATCTCTGGAAAACAAACAATATGGTGTACCTCTTTAAAAATTATACTTTAAGAAAGTTTCGCACACGTACCTGTGGAAAATTATACAGACCGACATCGTCTTATAGCAGCATGATAAAAGGAGCCGAATCACTTTGGTTCACCAAGTGCCACTAATAACAATCACAACAATCATCTCAAGTAATCTAGCACTTGTGAAAATGCAAATTACCTTTTTCCCGCAAATTCAGCATAAATTCAACAATGCCTAAACAAGACTTCAAAATTTCTTTCAACAACCAAAACTTCCTGTGATTGCACATGAAGAACAAGACGTCAATTTAAGTACACTTTTGAAAGAGCTATATCGGAGCAATTTCGAGAAAAAGGAAAGAAAGCAAGACAAAAGTCATTTTCATTGTAACCTGCCATTCTGTAAAACGTTTGTACAACATCAAAAAATTTAAATTTCAATTGGGAAAACAGGTGCAGTATGTACATGGATGTATACAGAACAACAGTGTACTTTGCATCACGATGTCAGGGTAATTCCAGAAATTAGGGGTCAAACAGTGTGACATTTGTGTGTCCTTGTTACATCTGGCATTTGTTATTTGACATGGAAATATCACCAGAATTGATTTCAAACTATTAGTACTGTTTGTTTGGCAGGTAATTCATCACACTTGGAAATTAGAAAATGTGTTCTGAACTTACAAAATCATGTCAGATGTGACAGGGACACAAAAAATGGAGCCCTAATTTCTGGAGTTACCCATAAATGTAAATCACATAAACTACAAAATGGTAAAACTTGTGATGTCAATGAAATGAATATTCCTGATTTGATGTTACTTACATCCTCTGTTGGCTCGTCAGATCTGCAAATGCACCTTCAAATGGGACAGCAATCTTTATAAATGTAACAACATTCAAATTGTGACATGTTTATGAATGAAATGCAAATGACACAACGTAATGATACTTAAACTCCCTTGAAAAAATACACCAAATTGAAATGCCAAAACTATCCCTCAGGTTTCGTAGCAGTAATGAAAAAAATACCAACAATCAGTGCCAAGCAGCCTTTTATTCAAAATGCTGACAGAACAGCGAGCCAAAGCAACATCATCAGCATGCAAAACTAGTTAACACTAAACTTCAAAAGTCGCTTTACCAATCAGCCACAAAGGGATATTTTCATTCAGCCACACCAACATCCTTCCCAACATTTGACAGCGAGTCATGCAACTTTGCCATGCTTATTTACTTTATTTCGGGATCCATGACCATAAATCATGATGTGACAAGGAGAACTGAGAAATCGAGTTGAATGTCAGTTTGGGGCATTTTCTCACATCTCTGATCTCTTTGTACCAGTTAGGATTGAAGTATCTCCATGGGACTTGAACTGGACCAAGAGATAGAGGGTGCTATTTCCTTAGCAGCGGAGGCTCCTTTGGTACTAACTGTGCATCGCTACCTACAAAATGAATCGATGATCATGAGGGGTGCTTCTGCTTGAGGCAGATTACAAGTCAAAGAAAATATTGATCATATTAAAACGGCTTCAGTTTTTCTCCCTGAGCTGTGGATATGCAGACATAAATATCTCTTTGAGTGTTTCTGCAAACACATCTACACATGCTAATGGTGAGTGATTTCACTATTGCTTTAACAATGTGGTCAATAGTCTTTTCGACCATTGTTGCAGTTGAGACCTTCCAAGACCTCAGTTTTCAATCGTTTTGATTTCGCACATTAAAACAAATTGCCGAGTATCGTTACTTGGAAAATAAAAGTTACATACATGTACATACAAATTATTTTCAAGTTCAAGGCAAACTTCATTATAAAAATGTATTTTTGAGAGTTAGAATTTAATCCATACTAGTGAGATATTTTATTCATGAAACTGTAGAGGCAAATTTTAACGGATAAAATAATGTTCAACGTGGAAACATTCATCACATTAGAATTATTTGATGTTCTGATGTGGGTTCTTGGAAATGGTCTCTACTACATAACTGTTCCATACACCTGACAGGGCACACTGCATTTGAGGCAAAGCCGAGATTGCTCAAAACAAATGGGTCAGTTTTTAACAGCACTTTTAAAACAAGGAATCTAACATTCAAATTTCTTGACGAGGATGATTAAGGTGATGTATCTTGACACACAAGTGATGTACTGTGCAGGGACTATTCGTGATCACAGGTGACAAACTTCTGAGATGGGTCACAGAAAAAGTACTCAAAGCAAAGACCGTCTGTTTCAATTTAATTTCAGCAATTCAGAAAAAAAAATGATTTTTCCCCCATTTTTAAGAGAAGGTATAAGAATTATTTTGATTGATTACGCCCATTTCCGATGCAATTTAAAAACTTTCACTGTTCATTTCGAAGTGAAATGAATTCTGTGACTAGGCCCAACGTTTGACAACCTTGATCACATTTGCTTGGTTGCAATGATTGAATTTCATGTTTGTTGTGGTCTATACCTCCCCTCGGTAGCATACACACACTTGTAATTTTACATATATTCTTACGATCGCGTAGTGCTTCACGTGCATATAAAGTACACTGCAGAGGGAATACGTACAGTTTTTCCAAGTTAGTCAAAGGTGCTAGGATTCCAGGTGGAATCTCACTCAGCCTGTTATTCTGTAAGTTCCTGTGTAAAACCAAAGATCAGAGCCTGAATGTATGTACACTACACCAAAAAAGTTACGGAACACTTTTTATTTTGTGTATATTTTTTTTTATATGCAATATTTTACTGCTGAAAATGTGCATTTGATGTTTTGAAACATTTTTGAAATTTGAAATTCCAATGAGAACACCATCTAGACAAACAAAAAGAAAGAACTAGACCACACTCAAGTTATGAAAAAAGTGGTCCTTAACTTTTTTAAGTAGTGCATGTAAGCAAAGGACTGGCACTTGATACTTTTAATTCTATGGGTGGGTTTGAGCGAGCTACTCATGTTAACTTGAGTATACTCTTGAGTGCTCAAGTGGCTGGAGTATGACCCAAGGGTCAGCGAGAGTATACTCGCACTAGAGGGGGAGTATAATCCTGTATCCAAGTGTAATGCACAGGCATTCTACTTGTGTTACCAGGAGTAACCGCACAAATGCACCATTTGGTTTCAAGTACTTCATGTACTGATAGCTAAGTTACCTAAGGTTTCAACAGCACTGAGACTGCAGAGACTCGTCCACTCGTATCACTCGACATTATTTAGAGGGGCGTAACTGCATTTTCATTTTCTGGTTGGACCCTTAAAAATCTCATTAGGGTTGAAGTCAGGGCTGTCATCACAAGTCAAATAACGGGTTATTGCCTAGTTTATCACAAGATTGGCCTCAGATTGATAAGATTAACAGATTTGTGAAAGTGGGTTGTTATTTGAAATGAAACTAGATGAGTTCTTATGAGGACTTAAAAGTTATCTCAAGAGATTACAACATGGAATCAACCCATATAATTTGGAGTATGGACCTGAACTTTGACACTGGGGACCATTGGGCTTAATGTGAGAGGACATGAACACCTACCTGATTACCTAAAGTTTATTATTTTAATTGGTTTGGGGGTAGTCACAGACGGCTTAACTTACAGTAACTCCATGCTGCTCTGCCCCTCAAATGCATCAGGGGGTAGAGTTGCAATCTGGTTGTCATTCAGATGGACTTCAGCCAGATTCTGACTAGAGAGGGCCTTGGCTGGGTACGTGATCAGTGCATTGTTATCCAAAGACCTGCAGGTTGATTGGTAAGACTGCTTAAAAGTTGTGGCCAAGACAATGATAAGTCAGTGGAGAGAAACGGCTTCAACAGAATCAAGACAAGACCAGCTTTCTCAACTTAGACCACAGAATGTGACATACTTTAAACAAATTAATCTACGGATGTACTCACAGTGTAGTTATGGATGCCCCATCAAATGCGTCACCAGGAAGTGATACAACCTCGTTGTTCTGCAACCACCTGCAACACCGCACAGAATTTTCTTATATTCAGTCGTGGAATTGGGTGTATATACAAAGTATGACTTAAATTACAGGACTACAGGAAGTAATTCCTTTTTGTGCAACTTTTCGAAAAGTAATGCTTATACAGACGATTTTTTAACCCAAATTGTTCGCAGAGGTGATCGGTAGCATGTATTTTAATCTGGCCAGGAGTGATACATAAGAGCGTGCTGACAGGCTTTTCAGAAAATATCAACTACGAAAGGTAAATGTTTGTCAATTATTCTTCTTAAAGGAATGTTGTGAGTTCACCCAAATAGTACCCTTTTTAAATAGTGAGGAATTTGTTGTCAAATGTTCCAGGGCCATGTTTATGGCTGGTGCTATGTATGTTATTTGCTATATGGCACTGTGTCACCGTTGCGTTATGTTGTTCCTTTCCAACACAAAAATAGGTAATGTTAACGGGTACTTACAAGGTGTCTACAGTGGTGCCGTCTGCAAACATCTTGCCTCTAATGTCATAGATCTTGTTATTCTCCAAGTGCCTGTGAAGAACAGGAGAGATATACGTGTAGCAACACTTCCACCAAGAATGTGCATTTTCTTTAAAAAATTGTTGAGTTCTTAGCCACATGTACAAGTCTTTGGTACAAACCGAACTGAGCGATGAACTTGCGCAAACAGAAAAGTTTGGAAATTGTTTTTAACGTCTGTGACTACACAGTTGCTAGGTCCGGAGTTTCACCACTGATTGTGAAGTCTGGTTTGCTTCCACAGGAAGTGGCAAAATTAGGGACTTGGCGACCATGTGGTAACAGACATTAGAAGTATTTGCTGATCATGAAAAGTTCCTTTTTTTTTACTAAAACTGATCAAACAGAAACAGCAACAGCCTAACATTTTTTTTCAAACGCTAGGTATGCAAAGCACAAGCCATGCATCCTTCATAAGGTAGCAACTGAATTTTCACACATGCTGATGAAAACAGATATTAGAAATCTTGAGCCATAGTTAGTTCCTAATGATCGATCCCCAACTCTCTTATAAAAATGGAACATTTTTGGAGATTTCACCCACTTCCATATTATACAAGTCCTTGATTTACACAGAACAGGGTACGCAGACACTTACAACTCTTCAAAGACATTGACATTAAACGATTCCTCCTCGACAACTTGCACAGAATTGGACTGCATTGAGCTGTGTGTAAAAACAATCACGACCATGATGTAGTGAGAGCCTACTCAGACTTTTCTTAATTGAAGAAACTGAACAAATCTAAAGCCACAAAATAAAAATTAAGTAGTTAGTGAAATGGAAATATCCATGCAGGTGTCTGAAAGAAGAAATGATTTATTATCACTCTGTCTGGCATGGATTTTTTTGCGAGAAATTTGCCTTTAGCATAGCACAAAAAGGTATGTGATAGTTGCTAAACCTTGGGCCCCGGCATTAGGCCCAAAACAAGGTTTCGCATGGCAAATTGGGAAAAGTTGAACATAATTGGGCTCAAGCAAATTTCACTACAAATGTTATGTGGTGTTATTTTTACTATGAGTAAATTCACATACAGTACATTTATTCAATCCACGTTTGGAAATATGGTGCCTTGTGGAGACCCAGAACAATGGGTTGAATAGGTCTCCACAAGGATTTCACGAAACTGATATTTGGAAATTGCTCAAAAAGAAGAAATTTTTAACGTGTAAGAATCTGTCGCAAATTGAAGTGTTTCACATAAGAGACATTTGGTCGAAACTTCAGTCCAGGAAAGTGATTCATGTTGAAATGGGAGCCTTTTGAAAACATCGTTTCACACGTGACCAAATTGGTACTGGATAACAAAGCCATGTCTCCACAAGGATACAAATTTCAGAATAAAAGAACTTGTGTGTGTGCTGATGCAGGAGATGGACCACAAATGTGCCACTGATGGGAACTGAAAACAACTTCATAATCTCTGAGTACACAAAGAAGGCCAAACTTACAAGTGGTATGCTGTGATCCCATTGAATGCAAAAGACGGAATGGTAGTCACACCCACTGAGAGCATGTTACTGTCAATAAAATATACAAAATGCTTTTCAAAAGAAAGGGCAGAGTACTTGTGTAACGTAAAATGTAACCCTTTCTTCGTGTGGGGCAGCTACCACACCTGGGTAAAAAACAGCATCTCTTTCTATACAAGTAGGCAACTGGACTCGGACACAAATACAAGAGTAACAGAAAGAGTCAAATACTTTCCACGTCTACAACTGTAAATGCTTCTCTTTGTCTCCTCTCTGCAGGTTTGTTTCAGGCTTGCGAGCTACAGTGGCTGGGGCACTTTTGAGGAATCCCTGATATTATTACCAGGTATGTTTACTAAAATCAATAACAATAATAGTAGTAAATTAAATACAAGTGCCATCATCATGCCAAGGCTGTAAGTCATCCGATGTTATTACCAATTACCCACTCTCAAATCCAATCGCACAAGCTATACAAATAAACTATCAGAAAGGCCCATTTTCATTGGGAATACATGTAAATGGGAAGAAGTGCTTGACAGACTTCTGACAGACTGGATTGCTGATCTTCACTACTTGCCAGACGCCCATACAACCATGCGACACATTTTGTGCACATTCACACAAAAATTAGTTGTTATTCCTTAGCACCATAAATGAACAAAGTGCATGAACAGAATGCAGTTCTCATCATACGTGGCTACTTTGCATTCGTTTCTGTTCCTCCGTGGACAATCCATCACATATATACCCCTCAAACATTGCCTTCGACCGGACATCTCAGAAAGTTTGAAACCCTAAGATGGTTTGAATCATACGGTGTTCTTACAGATCCAAAAGGCACGCTGCAAGCGCTAGCACACACAATTCTTGGCACGAAAAGGGTCGTCGAGACACACAAGCAGCTGCGTATTCAAGTCCATCAGGTACAAGTCCTTTTACAATTCCCTTCACAAGACCAGTCATAATAAGTAACAGGGTGAACAATGACACAAGAATGCTTTTGTCACAGCTCACTTGAATAGCTTGTGAATTGGCTTAAGACTGAATGACTTGTGATGGACTTGCAGGGACTTGTGATGGACTCGAATGCAACACTGTACACAAGAGGAACGGAACCGATTGAGTTTACTTACAAGTTCCTGCAGGTGATGTCATGGAAGGAATGTGAGCTTAGTGTCTGTAGGGGGTTGTTGTCCAATGTAAGAGAGCTGCAAACCAAAATGTTGCGAGAACATTTTAATCAGATCAAAGTACCATATGTAAATTTTTGGATTGATGAACTAACATGGGGAAGGGGGACTAGTTAACATAAATTTTTCAATTTCACATTGAACATATGGGTCGGAATATCAATGAGAAAATCAATTAAAAGAATTTGGTTACATGGACCTGTAAACATTGTGCCCAGAAAAATGGCAATTGATTGTTGACAATTTGACACATGGAGCAGAGTTCAGTAAATATACTCACGAGGTAGTCGATCCCGACAATGTGATATCATCAAATGCATAGGGCTCAATGTGTGCAATGTCATTGTTTTGCAAGTATCTGGGACAGTGAAAAGATACCTTCAAAGTTACAACAAATTCAGACTATTAACATGCAATTCATTTAATGTATGTGATAAATTAGTTTCGATTTCAACATTTAACATTTCTGGGGACTCTGAATTTAGTAACATGAACAGGTGTGGGCCACGTATGCCATTGTGTAGCAGTGAAGCTAAATGTGCCATAGAGATTGCAACACAGATCAAGGTAACCTTCATATTTGTGTCCACGAACGCAGCTACGCAGAAACTGAAAGTTACTGAAATAGGGCATTGCAGGATATGGCTCAAAGGAAGCTCCAATGTTGTTACTATTACTTACAGATTTCTAGCAGCAAGATTCTGGAAAGCACCTGTCTTGATTTCAGTTATGCTGTTGCCTCTGAGATCCCTGAATAGGTGAAGGAGTTTGAGACAAACTGAATTGGGAGGTCATTTACAGAGGCCATGGACTGGTTCTTGAGCTGACAAATGATATCCCAGCATATACAAGTACCATCCACACCTTTTGGTTCCCAGCCTAAGAGTATCTGTTGTGGCACACCTCCAGACTCTGCATCTATGACACCCCAGGTTGGATTTCACACACCTTAAAATCCTGCACCGCGGCACCCAAGTCTCCTAAGTGAACCTTCAGACCTTGCACTCAGCTACCAGTAAGACAGCCACAGCTTCAGATCCTAGATCCAGGACATCCCAGGTTTGTCACGCTCATTCACCTGCACCTAGCAAATCCCCAGGTTATCTCTCACACCTTCAGATCGTGAATGAAAGCGCATCCCACGTTGTGTCTCATACCCTCATATCCTGCATCTAGCCAGGATAGTTCCGGTTAACTCACACACCTTTAGATCCTGCGCCCACATCTCTTAAGATCCGGCACTCAGCCAACCGGTAGTATGTCCAATACCTCAAGACTCTGCACCTTGCATACCCCAGATTGTCTCACGTACCTTTAGATCCTGTACCTGAAATAGCCCAGGTTATCTCACACACTTTCAGATCGTGCACCAAATGTATCCCTAGCTATTTACATTCTACACACATCAAATTCAAGTTGATGGTGTGTGGCGCCGTATTTCAGCCAAATATAACCAGAACACAGGGTCAGCATATTTTAAAGTATACCCCAAGAACAAGGACGAAAAAATTCCGTAAGCCAGCAGCACCTTGGCTGTCAGCCAGTAATTGGTTAAAAAAGCTTACACGGACAGAGAAGTTACAGAAAAGTAAAGTTACAAGAATCATCCACTTCAGGCATACCCTCACTGGCAACAATTACCAGTACAAGATCAGCCATACTAGAAATGTCATTAGAAATATTAGAAGCGTTGTACATGTATGTTCCCCATCCACACTGTAAATAATTCATTTGTGGAATATGTTAGCGTGTATATAGATTACCAAAAATGGGTCACTTGGGAGACATTCCCATAAGAACGTGCACAAATTTTATTGTCCCATAATTAAATAAATGTACGTAAATCTGATCTAAACCAAACTTTGTACGTTTTCAATTGAGACCCTAATCTATCATCTCTCAAAATTTGGACACAGTAAAATTCGGCCTCCTTCTGGTAGCTGGGGCATTAGAGAGACATTGAAATGTCTCCCTCATGACCGATGTCTCCCTAAGGTCGAAAAATTTACCACGAAATGTCTCTCTAATGACCCATTTATGACGCGTTGATATAGTGCATTCCAGTACAACCAGACTTTTAATGCGCTTAACACAACATCTCTGCTCACTGGGCCCAGAAACATTGCTACCAGGGTCATTCTATAAATTTGGCCAGGGTCCAAAGTGTGACATATTTCCGTCCCTGTTACCTCTGACATGTATACCATCTGACATGTTTGACAAGGGATGTATCACTGACATTGATTTCAAACTATTATTATTTGTTTGGCAGGTAATTTGAAGTACTTAGTCAGTCTTGGAAATTAAACAATGAGTTCTAAACATTTAAAATCATATGCCAGACGTGACAGGGATGGGAAACATTTGGACCCCAAGTCTATAGAATGACCCATCAATAATCCCATCTCCCTGGGGAGCATACAACCATTGGTGTGACCATTTCATGAGTTACCAGGTTGACCGATCACAGATGATCCTTTCTACCCTCATGGGTACCCATGCACTCCTGGGTGGAGAGATGCAAATGAAGGTCAAGTGATTTGTCCAAGGTCACACCGAATGCCCCAAAGCTAGACTACACACCCTTTGGGTGATCAACAAGCATGCCCACACTCCATGCTACCCTATTAACCCTCCTATGGTTTTACAGCACAAATGTCCACAGTCACTGGTGTG